TCCCGCAATATCGCACGGTCGTATCAAACCAAAGTAACCGCTTGTTTCATTCAATATCCGTGGTTTGCGAAATAACCTCCCAGAGCTTAGGCTATTTCTTCGAGATCGCGAAGCCGACCTCCTCCTCCTTCAGGAGACCCACCTCAGCCCCAAGGTCTCTAAAGGCCTTTCTATTAAAAATTATTCACTTCTGCGAAATGACAGACCCGACCGCAAAGGCGGCGGTACTGCCATTTATTACAAAAAGTCCCTTCACTGCTCCCACATATCCACTCCGACGCTTACCAGTATGGAAGCCACTATCACTAGATTAGCCATGACTGGACACCAGTCAATCATTAAATCATTATAGCCTCTTGCTATATCCCTAGCGGAACCCTCCCCGTTAAGAGTGATTTCGAAGCCATCCTTGCATTACTCAAAACTAATGCTATAACTAATTAACTCCAAGCATACTGAATGGACCTGCCGCACTACTACCAGTAGTGGCAGGGTGCTGCTCAATATCACTCAGTCTCTCGACCTTACTGTCTACAGCCCCCTCGCTGTCACCCACTATCCCGACAATGTTAACTACGCTCCTGACGTGCTAGACTTTCCTCTAGTTAAAGGAGTCTCCCTTAACCTCAGAGCAATCGAGTCTCTCGATGATCTAGGATCCGACCATCGTCCTGTATCCCTCATTCTTGGCCATCAGCCATCTCCAACTCCCACTTGCAAAACCTACACCAACTGGAAGGGCTTCAAGAAGTCTCTAGCCTTGGCTACAGACTCTCCGGACCCTCCTATAACCCTTTCTTCCGACGTCCTCGACAGTACGGGGAAAATAGACATCGCGGTCGAAAATCTCACCTCACTTATAACATCCTCTCTTAAAGAGAATGAAAAGGTTGTCCCGGTTGCTAAAACTAGTCTTCCCCTAGATATTAGCAACCTGCTAAAAGCCAAAAAAGCTGCCCTCCGTAGAGCTGCACGCTATCCCACTCCCGAATATAGACTCGCGGCCCACCGCCTTCAACGCAAACTCCGTTACCGCCTCCAAGATTACAGAGACCTCGAAAGGGGCAATCTCATGGAGAAAATCTCTCCCTCCCACACAGCGTACTACCAGATGGCGAGAGCCCTCCGGATAGACGCTATAACGCATACTCCCCCTCTGTCTCGCCCCGACGGCTCTATTGCCTTCGAGGACGAAGAAAAGACTGAGTGCTTCGCCGACAGCGTCGCCGCTCAATGCTCCTCCAGCTCACAACCCATTGACCCCATACACATACAACTAGTGGAGGACGAGGTCCGTCGCCGGAACTCACCCCCTACCGCCTCTGACCCTATCACTGTGTCCAAAGATGAGATTTCATCTACCATCAAAGGACTTAAGCCCAAAAAAAGCACCTGGTGCGGATGGCATCACAAACCAAGCCCTCAAATACTTTCCGGAGCAAGTGATCGCCTTATTGGCCATAATCTTCAACGCCTGCTTCGAATTCAGCTATTTTCCCACTTCTTGGAAAGAGGCAACTGTCATTGGCATTCCGAAGCCAGGCGAACCTCACCACCTCCCCTCCAATCACCGTCCCATCAGCCTCTTCAAGGCCATGGGCAAACTTTTCGAACGAGTCTTTCTCGTGCGCATGAGGCGCCATTTGTTTCCCACGGACGGCGACCCTCTTGTCATCCCACAACAATTCGGGTTTCGAGCCAAACACTCGTGCACCCAGCAAGTTCACCGCATAGTGGAATATATCCTCAGCGGTTTTTATCCTCGTCGTCAAAAATCCATCGCGGTCTTCTTCGACATTGACAAGGCATTCGACAGAGTCTGGCACGAGGGCCTTATCTACAAATTGTATGGCTTAGGCCTCCCAGACCGTCTCGTTAGCCTTGTAGCCTCCTATCTGAAGGATCGTACCTTTCGCTTTAGACACGAAGGCACGCTATCCTCTACTCGTCAAATCAAAGCCGGTGTTCGGCCCCTCCTATACATACTATTCACCAACGACATCCCTATCCCGTCGAATGGTGTTAAACTATCCCTCTTTGCAGATGACACAACCCTTTACTCTAAAGGCAACTCACTGCCACAGACAATCCAAAAGTTAGTAAGCGACTTAGGAGCTTGGTTCCAAAAATGGCGTATCGAAGTAAACCCGGAGAAAAGCTCCGCCGTTTGCTTCGAATATAAACGACGTCGTCTCACCACCACGCCGCCAATCAGGATGGAAGGAACCCCTGTCCCATGGCAAACTAAAGCCAAATACTTAGGCGTCACCCTTGATGCAAGGCTCACTTTCGAGCCCCATATCAAGAAGGTTACTCGCACCGCACGATTTTACATGGGTAGGCTCAACAGCATGTTGGGCAGGCACAGTAAAATATCCCTCCGCAACAAGCGAACCCTATATAAGGTCTGCATAAGACCTGTCATGACCTACGCGGCCCCCATTTTCGCACATGCTAAGCCCAAAGCTATAAATGAACTTCAAATAGTCCAAAATCTATTCTGTCGTAGGGCCACTAACTCGCCCTATTATGTCCGTAATGCCGACTTACACCGAGACTTAGAGCTCTCAACAATCAAGCAGTTCCTTAAATCACTCTCTGAGAGATTTTTTAAAGCCTCAGAGTCCCACCCAAATCATCTCATTCATGAGACAGCTGCCTATGAAGCCCCTATCCACACTCGCTATAGTGTGCGCAGACCGAGAAACTCTCTCTCGGACCCCCCCAACAAGCTTTCGGCTGACCTGAACTGCCTCCTGGCGGCTCAGGCCAAGCATACATAACACATCCCTTAATCTGCCTTAGTTAGGCAGTCGTCTAAGCGGCTTTTCGCCGCTTGCGCCCTCCTTTCTGCCAAGGAGGGTCGCGTTCGTATACGTTACGTTACGGCTTAGAGATCTCTAGTTAGACCGTTAAGTCAGTCCCTAAAAGGCGGTGTTTAGTCGGTAAAAGTCTCCACATAACCACGCACCGGCTGCGTGGTATGCTATGAGCATTCACCGCCTCCCTCCCCCCGCTTTCCGGAGGGTTGCCCATATTTGCTTCGGGCGCAAAAAAAAAACACGGTCCGACCTTTTTGCCAGCGGCAAAGGGACAGTCACAGAGTTCAATTTGAGACAGTAATGACGTCGTGTGCAGAGAGCATAGATAGAACAGAATAATTTTTATTCAGTAAAGATCTTATGTAATTATTGAAAGTAATTTTATACGTTAACACTAGTTTGGAAAACTCTTCATCTCAAGAAGAACCAACAAGAAACCCAGTGGTACTTTTTATATATCTTATTGTTTTATGCCTACATAATTTTTAGATAAAATCGTCGTACGCATTTTATCACTCATGAAGTGAAAATTAAGACTCGAATATTCTAACCGTAGAAATAAAAAGATTTTATACAGGCTTATTTTGCAATTACCAGCCAAATTTGCAGAGAAGGTCCAGAATAAGTAATATAGGTTAATGGTGATGAAAAATTTATTAAAAAAGTTTCAGACTTTCCGTCATTTTTATTTTTTAATTCAAAATGCGTGGTAATTCATTATTTTAACTGATTTTACTCGCACCGCACCGCTGCAACGTACCTACATATGTCTGCTCGCTGCTCACCCTCGCCCGACCGACAGCGGACGATGTTCACTGTGACCCACGTTAGTACTCTTATTAGTTTGTGACCGGGACCTCATTACGTAGCGAAAATATTTAAACCGCGGATACTATGAAACCGTGAAATGGTGACATTACATGTGAATATTACATTTTAAGCAATAGAAGTTTACGTGGTACAAACATACAAAGATAATAAAGTGAGTCTTTACCGCGGTGACGAATTAGCGTTTGTGTCGTAATTAACCTACCAATCGAATCAAACTATTCAAGGGCAGTGAGCGATAACTTAAATAGTCAATCTGCAAACTCATCATAACTTTCAACGTTAGTCTTTTACCTATCAAAATAAAGTAATGTACATAAAGTCATGTTTACGTCAAAGAGGTCCAAAGTTATGACGACTGCTACAGTAAAATTATTGCTGCGTTCACTAAAATTAAACAAAGATCATACAATATAGTTCTTACAGTTCTAACGCCCCATCACTTACAGTCAAATATAATGACTTAAAAATTGATATAGTTGACAGTTACAAATTCTTAGGAATAACCATTGACAAAAATTTAAATTGGAAGGCACATATTGATGCAATAAATTCGAACGTTTAAAAATAAAAAAATCTTTCTTTAACGTGTATCTATATAAAGCAAGTTTGCTATTTTGTAAAACGGCGCCCAGAATATTTTCAAGAGCACATAGATATTAATACTAGACAGCAAAGAACTCAATATGTGAGCCTATTACACCAAACTCCTTGGCATACTTATATTTATAGAAAAATATATAAAATATGTGTATAATATTATTTTATAAATTACCAGACGTTATAAAAAATTTAAAAGGAAATAAGTCTAAAACTTTATTAACCGAATGTCTACAAAACAAATTTTTTTATAATTTTAAAGAATATTTAAATTAATATATATATATATACATTTTTATAGTATATTTCTAGCACCATCTCATGCTTCTTATGCTATATATGCTATGCATCTTATGCTTAAAAGTGCTCAAGAAGTAAGTGAAAAAATATTTTAATGAAACGTGCTCGTCTGCGCATAACGAATATGACCCGTTGCCCCGAGGTTACAATTTTCGTTAGCCTCTGGCGCAGAAGCAACCAGTTCAGTTTTTCTAGACTCCGTCAATTGAACACAAAGAAGCGCGCGTAAGAGTTGTTGTTAACCATAAATCACGTTCAATTTGGGATAATTTCGAACAAAATTAGGAACCTTATTTACTCATATTTTCAAAAAATGTAATATAGGTATATAATAATAATAATTTATTTATTTGATCTTCAATGTAAAATTTGGCTTAACTTTGAAAAATAACCATGTATAATAATAAAGCTATAAATTTCTGCGTAGGTAAGTGATAAATAAAATAAATCTTATTTGTAAAAGGTTCTTCTATGCATGCCCTTGTAACGAGGTCCGACTCGTTCTATGTTGCCTGCGGCAAGTCGTGCGACTAAAGTGCGTAGTGGAATTGGACTAATGCTATTCAGTTCCGACGTCTGATCGGAAAAAGCCCAGCGGATGTTACGCTCCATGCGGATGTGATCTGTGAAGAAAAAAACTAGTTAATGGTGATAGCTACGATAACTATTATGCTGGCTTTACACAATCGTCCAAGCGCCCTACCGTCCAAGTACAAAGTTTCCCCTGAACAAAAAGGAACTAGTTGAATCATAAACCCGTCTCTATAGAAGAAGTTTTTTTACTACAAGAAAGGAATAAAAAAAAACTTCATTAGACATCACAAAGAAAAAGAAATAAAAAAATTATCAAAGAATTTGTGTGAAGTCCAAATGGGTCTCTATTTACTAAATGAGAGCAGTGCTGATTTTCAAATAGAACCTAATACAATCCCACCTAGTGGTAAGCGGTGATGAAATCTTAGATGGTAAATCGGAATGTTTTAGTGTAACGCAAGCCTATTCACTCTTTCCTTGAAGGCGACCAGATTGTAGTCGGACGGATAGACAGAAGCAGATTATTCCACTCCTTTACGTTTCCGTACGCATTACGAAAGACGCAGCAAACCGTTTGGTCCTATTGCGAGTCCTATCGACAAAAGGGTGAAGTGCCGCCGACCACCTGACTGTCCGATGGCAGTGAGTCGTCCATATTTACAATAAAAATATCAAGTTTGCGTCAGCGTCTTTACATCCGAATATTATCTGGGCGTCTTAAGAGCGGCCAACCCGTCTTACTTTTCATAAAACACTCGTACGTGATTATGGCGTTGTAATAGTTATTTCTTTGAAACTTTTGAACTAATAGGTATCTTGCGCACTATATCTAGGTTTCTATTAAAACAAAAAATCTAAATTTGGAGAAAGCAATTCAGTATAAACCTCGTAAAATCTCCTTTTTTCACAAATTTTACCAGAATTCCGGCCGTTCAAAATGTACTCATAAATTGTAAAACTAAAGAAAATATTTTCATAGAAACTTGGCAAATCTAATGGAGTTTCTAAATGATAAACATTTATTACACAAACTTGTAAGCCTTACTGAAAAACACGTATTTCCTGGAACAAGTTTTATGAAATTTCTGCACACAATTGTTCGTTCAATGTTATCGCGTTCTCACTTGTTTGTTAGTCAAGTGGCGGTGAGGTTGCGGGGGATGAGTCGTGCGGGGTTGGGGTGGGGTGAGACAGGGGAGTTGAATGACGATCGCAGCCGCCGCCGCGCCGCTGGCGCACCCGCTCGGCTCTCGGGATTCTCGGAATTGTTAGTAGGTATAGAATTTGTTTCAATATTTTTGTCATGAATGGCTCACACTAATGGGTCGGCTCGACCGGGGAAGGACCACGCTCTCACAGAATACCAGCGTGAAATAGTAGCTTAATGCTGCTGTATTTCGTATGGTGAGTGTAGAGAACCGGAGACCCTTTTTACTGGAAATGAGGCATTCCATCTCAGTCCTCACGGGTGACAACGCATCTGCATTTTGATTTGTAATGGAAGATAGATGTAGATGTCTATGGGCCGCAGCAACCACTTACCATCAGGTGGACTGTGTGCTCGTTTGTCACCCTATCCTATAAAAAAAAAACACTAGCTGTCGACCGCCCGCGAGTGAGCGGCGAAAGTTGCCGAATGCCAACCTAGCGCTCAAGCGATATCTCTCTCCTTTGGCTTTGCCTCTTTTTCTAACATTGCGCTGGATGAAACAACAAGCTTTTCAACCATTCTCGCGTTGACGATCCCGTCAGGGTAAATGTATTCTGTGATGATGATAGACGGGCCGGGAAGGGCTCTCTTAAAGGCAAAAGTGAATAGGCTTTTGTTACGCTAAGACACTGGCTAGTAAAGCACTGGTTTATAATAAGTAAAAAAAAGAGTCGCCACGGCTTCACCTAAGCAGGATCTATTAATGTGACATTATTTACATTTTACTAATCCGTTGGGCTATGTCGGCCACTCTGGTTCTACTGCGGATATGCACATTTCTGAGTTTATCACGCAGAGAAACTCTGAGCATAGCCCTCTCCATAGATCGCTGAGCGACCTTGAGCGTCCTCATACGGTCAGCAGTGAAGGACCACGTCTCAGATCCGTAAGTCATCACAGGCAACACGCAGCTGAAGTGGCGATGGGCCGGCCATATAGCTCGAATTACCGATAACCGATGTATAACTTGGGGGAGGCCTATATTCAGCAGTGGACTTGTGAAGGGCTGTAATGATGATGATGATGATGATTTACATTTTAGATAATTATCAAAGATCACTTGTGTATCACGTTTTTATAGGTTACTCCAGATATTGCTCTCGTTTGTGAAGTATTATTACAATACGTTCAGCCATTTAAAAGGGAGCCCGCACAAATTTAAAAAAAATGGTAGTTTATCTCTTAAAAGCATACAAATAAACTCTGAGCTTAATAGAAGTCAGATATTTTAATATTACAGTTAGACGATTCCGTTTATATATATGTATAGATATAGGCTCATTATATTTACTAACCTATAGCGGGATCGACAATCGCGAAAGCTCGTTTCAGGTTGTCAACACTGATGCACTTATTTGACGCACGCCTTCCGCCCAATTCCGCAACTATTTCCCGAATATACTTGTCCTGGGCCAGTTGCCTTTGCCGGAACAGTTCTCTGGCGATGTCTAGACGATCGAATCCTTCTTCATTCTGCAATAGTAAGGTTTGTTCCAGCTTACAGCGCGTTTTCTAAACTAGGCAGAAGAGGCTATCGTACTGACAGATTTAGAATAAAAGCTTTGGAGCTATATATTGCTGAAAAACGTTATCTGCTGCACTGTGATAAAAGAAAAATTTTATTATACAAATTGTCTATCGTAATTCTAATATAAATAATAAAAACAAGTTAGGCATCAAATAACGCTTCGTTTTAAAATGCCGAATTCTCCTGCGGGTGTACGCCACACGCTGCGACCTTTTATGTCACGGCGGCATCTTTGACAACACAAACACGCCAATGCGGTGCGAAACAAAGACGACCGTATCCAAGCGAACATACTATATTACTTATATTAATAAAGATTTTAGCACCAAAAATTAACATTTAATAAAAAGTAAAAGCCGACTTCAAAGGACTAAAATAATAAAATAAGTTCACATTCTGAAATCTAAACCATAGTGTGAGGGGAATCGAATTCGTGACTGTTTTAGTTCTTTGAAGTCAACTTTTACTCTTTATTAAAACTAATTTTTTACTCTTTAGTGTAGACTAATACAACCTCATATTGTCTAAAATTCAATTTTTGTGCGAGGAGGTTTTGTGTAGGTCTAGAGTGAGAAACCAGTATCACTGCATCCTAAAAGATCTGTTGTGATCGCGGCTATAGCTATAGTTCACTGGTAAGTCCTATATCTTCAATGAATAAAAGGAGTTGCTTAGTTGGCAGCAATTTCACTTCCTCTGGGTGAAGTACATAGTTTCCCAGATGAGTGTTACGATGCGCATTAAGGATCTACAATCAGTTAGGATGTGCAGAGGCATGTCTTCCGTTGGGGAATAAAACCAGCACATCCTTTTGTTGCTTAAATCCAGAACAGACATATACTTTTAAGGCAATAGTGTCCAGAGCAATTTATTTTTACCTAATCCCAGGAATTCTGAAGCGAATTTACGATCAAAAGCCCGAATTAAGGCTTAAGAATGTTTTAAGCCACCCGGCTTAAAACATTCACCAGTACCAGACTACACTTTAGGCGAATTATTGTGATAAAGAGTTTCAATCGGGCTAGGCTTTTTGAGATTCCAAAAAATGGCTTGGGTCCAAATTGTGTTCATTGCCTACAATTCCCGCGTGACTCGGAAACCATCTTAACATGATTACATGGCCCTGATGTTACTTCCCAGGGCGTTTAGACGGTTCACACAGTCTCTAACTAGCTTTGAGTTCACAAGTTTCATCTCAGCGCTAGCAGTGCTGCTTGATTATCAGAATTTAATATAGTTTATATGGTTGACATAGTGTTTTTGCAGATTGATTTCCGCAAACGGCGAAAATTTCCGGCTGGAATATAGAGGTAAATCTACCCAAATTCATACTAAGTTTGAATTTGGGGTGTCGTAGGTCGGGGCCTATTTTTGACCCATCGGTATACCATATAAGGCTACCGACCTCACTGATAACTTGTCCATTCAACCAGTCTTCTCTGGAGGGTAGTTCCACTATGTACTTTTTGTTCAAAGTGTATAGTGGACGCACGATACCTGAGATCATGCATAAAACCGGTGTTTCCTTAATTGAGTCGAGCATGGATCTCAATCTATAGGAAAGCAAGCTCAGACCGCCTGGGCGTTAATCCTATACAAACTAGCCCTCGCCTCCTTGTCTAAATAAAGAGCAAAGGGCATTAGGCATAGAAGTGCATAAAGAGCCGCTCCAGGCGAGGATCGCATCGCTCCAGTTGCCATTAAGCAGGCAGTCCTTTGTAGACTATTTAGTCTGTCCGCAGTCGTCTTTTGGTCGTCGTAGGTAATAATCGGCCTCACTATGCTGGTGTACAGCCATAGGATCACACTGAACGCAAGCCCCAGTTGTTCCCAACCATGCGACTGCACGTACCTAAAGAAATTTTAGTCTTATGATACACGTTGCTAAGGTGAGAGTTCCACGTTAGTTTTTGGTCGATTGTTACGCCCAAATACTTAACTTTAGTGGAGAATAGTACCTTCTTACCATTAAGTTTTGGTGTGACTAATTTATTCAACCGTCTCTTTTTGGTAAAGGGTATTTATTATAACAGTTTTGTCAGTATTAACTGATAAACTGGTATCCCTACACCAGTTATTTATGGTGTTTAGAGCTCTTTGTACGATTAACGATAAAGTCGTTTGGCAAAAACCCTTCACAAAGACCACAACGCAAAGAATGTCAATGCGAAGGTCTGCCATCTTATACAATAATTGGTCAACCGCAAGAGTCCAAAGAAGGGGTGACCTTAAAATATAACTTATCGGTTCACGATTGATGAAGGTATCGCATAACATAATAAAACATGTAGTCGAATTGTAAACTGTTTTTAAAGTCGACTAAAAAGAAGAAAGACCTATCAAGTACACACTTGGTGTAACATCACAAAAAATTTAATAAAAAACTTTATCGGCGTAACAACAAAATATAATAAACATAAAAGATTTTAAACATTTGTCAATGTTAAAAATCTTTTATGTGTCAATAAATAGATTGACTTGGCCATCGCATGAATGTATTTCAATGTATCTCACAAGTAATATATATTATATTAAATTAGATTGCTTAGTGCGATTGCCAAGTCAATCTATATATTCAAAACATAAAATATTTTTAACATTGATATGGTCACTATAAAATGTTGTTCGGTTAGCTAATTACGTAATAACTTAAAACAGAAGGACCCTTAAGTAGGGACTGAATAAATTAACCAACTTGGTATTACATGGATCTCACAACTTTTTACGGTAGAAGAACTAAGTTGCGAGACTTGTTTTTTTTTTTAAAGTTATGTTTTTGATGGCATCTCATTTCTTTTTGTAGACAAGATAGTCCTACTTTTTTTCCTTTCCGGTACCTTCTATTTCTATCTATTATACATATACAAGTCCACTGATTCATTCACCGCAAATGTAACTTTGTAATTATATATATTTATATGGAATTACAAAGTTATTTATGCAGTTTTTGTATCTAGAAAACTGGACCGAAATTAAAAAATATTTTAGATTTTCTTTAAAGCTAGAAGTGCCTTAGAGTTTTGATGAAACTTTGACTAGTTAAAATTCTTAAACTACTGGTTCAAATTGAATGAAATTTGAAATATACCATGTTTCTAAAATGCCTACTAGGTTACTGAATACTGAATTCAGGCTTCTATTTTTATCCACTACAAAGTTATAGGGGGTCGAAAATGGCCTGAATTGCATCGAGAAAAGTATGGTACTGCCGTGCCACTTTTTTGCTCGACGGGCCCCCCCAGTATTTTAAATATATTAAAAATTAATTGGCCAAGATCAGCGTAATAAAATAAAATGATGTGTAATTTACGTGCACTATCCTCGTTACCACTACTCCCAACAACACTACACTAGGAAAGATACACCATCATAGATATTACGACGTGTTTTGCTTCTAAACGAGGTATACTCGGGTGAAGTAGACTCTGCGCCTGACTATATTAATTATCCTATCAGTATTGTTACATCCCTAGTTTGTGACACGGTTTCGTGAAATAAATTTAGGACCTTCCTTTTACTTGCAACTTTTATGTCGCGTCTGTCAACTACTTGTAAATACAGTAACTACACTGATGATTTTTTTGACTATAATTATGACGCGTGCTAAAAATAACAAACGCAACACGTTGTGTCAGTAGCTAACAATAAACGAAAATTGTAGCATGTAGACTTAATATAGGTAAATTAATTTTAGTTATTATAAATGTATATCTAGAAGCAGGAGCAGATGCAGGAGAGGATTTTAAGAAAATTGCAAATAACATAACAATCGTCAAAACAGAAAGGGTCTTACTGGCTGGCGACTTCAACGCCAGAAGTCCCTGGTGGGGTTGTGATGCGGATGATGGACGGGGAACAGTTATAACTGACTCTCTAGCTCAATTAAATATGCACGTTATAAACTCAGGCAACACTCCAACTTTCAGTGTGATTAGGGGACAGAGGGAATACAAAAGTATAATAGACGTAACCACATGTACAACTAACATTCTTTACAAAGTCAAAAATTAGAGAGTAAATCCAGACTTAGTAACACTGTCTGATCATAGGGCCATAATTTACGAAATTAATGTGAATAAAGTTACAAGAGAAGAAAGTGTAGGAACTCAACAAGAGTTTATAACACATCAAAAGTAAACTGGAAAGACTTCACTAATATATGAAAGTGTAAGATAGAAAATTCCTCAATCCTCAGCAAAGTTTCCGAAGCAACGTCTTCCACAGATATAGAAAATCTTATAGAATACACGCAAAGTATTTTGGAAACCTACGAAGAAACAATACCAAAGTTATCTAAGAAAATACCCATAAAGACATCATGGTGGACAAAAGAACTAGCAGTGAAAAAGAAGAAGATCATCAGAAAACGACGCAGAATAAATTTTGCAAACGGGTATCGAAAGGAGATTGTAGTAGAAGACTACAAAAATGCGAAAGAGGAATATAAGAATTTAATTATAGATAGTATGAACAAAAGCTGAAACGAGTTTTGTACCAAGCAGAATAAAGAAAACTTATGGCAGAGCATATATATGCTCTGCCATAAGTTTTCTATAGAGTGATAAAGAAAAATAGTGGAATTACCGCGGATTTTCTTCTCAAAGACAGTATAACAGATAAAATTTTACCACCGGAGCAATCAGCAAGACTTCTTGCGAACATTTTTTCCAATGGATAATACCAAAACCGACGAAGAAGAGAATTCACAGATAAGAAAGAAAGCAGAAGAAATTAAGGAAAAGATGCAAAGCATGAGAGAGATAGGAAATGTAATTCACAGAAATTTCCATTTCTGTGAATTCTATTTCCATAGAATCAGTTTTCCAAAATATGAGTCCGAAAAAATCACTGGGGCATGACGGTCTAACAGTGGACATTTGTTACAATGCATACAAAGCGTATCCCGAGACCCTCAAAATGATTTACAATAAATGCCTTTTGATAAGCCACTTTCCAAAACTATGAAAAAATGCTGTTATCCGAGTACCGCTCAGGCCCAATAAAGATAACTACATGAACCCTAAATCATTTCGCCCAATTGGTCTACTGACTATATTGGGAAAAGTGTTGGAAAAACTCTTTATAAACAGAATAATGTGGAAACTAGGACATGAGAGCAAATTGAGCTTAAGGCAGTATGGCTTTGTTACTCAGAGAGGCATCGAAGATGCCCTTTATGATGCACTTGAGATCGTAAAACAGGCATTAAAGCAGAAAGAGATCGTCGTTATAATATCAGCTGACATCGAAAGTGCTTTTGACAATGCCTGGTGGCCGGCAATCATCAAAGAACTAGACAAAAAGGAATCAGAGATCGGACAGAACAATTAGTCTAAAAAACTGCAAATACGGAAGTTCTGAAGCAAACAAATAAGGGATGCATACAGGGATCTATATGTGGACCGCTATTAAGGAATGTGTTTTTGGTTTCATTGTTACAAAATACTAACAATGTTAAAGTGCATATACATACGACGCCTATGCAGACGACATAAATTTTATAGCAAGCGGACAGACGGCATCAATTATTGAAGATAAAGTAAATCTAGCTTTAAATACCAAGAAAAATGGGGACACTCGAGAAAAATGAAATTCGCGGCACATAAGACACAAGCAATGTAATAATTTAATGTTTTCATGTGTAATAACAAAGAAGAAAATACGAACAACCAAAATTATTTCTAAATAGTACACAAATCAATTACACGGATAGGTTAACCATTTTAGGACTAACAATAGACCGAAATATCAACTTTGTCAAACATATAGAAAATGTTATGAAAAAAAGCCATAATTTTTTATAAGAAAATATCCCTAACAGCCAGACTACAGGGGGTCTTAACTCAGAAATATTAAGGACCATCTACATATCAGTCATAGAACCTACTGTGCTCTATGCTTCTAGCACGTGGGGATTTACTGCAACAAAAGTGCAAATTAGGAAGAAGCTGGACAAAATGTACGAATGTAGGGTGCATAAAACAACATCATTAATATCATGTGCAACACTAGCAAGAATTATACCACTTGATTTAAAAGTTCTCGAACAAAAAGAGTTATACGAGATAAAGAGAGGGAAACCCATAAGTCACTTACCTGAAAGAACACTAGTAAAACGAACTTATAACAACACAAGATGGCGTCGATAAAATAGATAATAACTGGCCAAAAATCTGCACCGATGGCAGTAAAATATCAGGAAAAGTTGGCGCAGCAGTAACGGGTTGGATAGACGACAAAGAAGTTCACAAGTCAAGAATAAGACTGAAGAGTTATTGCAGTGTGTATCAGGCTGAGCTCTCAGCAATATTTAAAGGTACAAAAATTATGAAATGGAATAAAAAATTTAAACAGGCAAAAATATATTAAACGATTCCAGATCAGCTTTAGATTGTCTTTCAAATCCTAATAAGCTTAATCCCATAGTAGCAGAAATACGAGAAAGCATAAAAGAAATAAGGGAAAAGGGAGGAGAAGTAATAATTTAATGGATTACTGGAGAAAGCACACGAGGGCATAGCCGGAAATGAGAGGACCGACGAACTGACAAATTCGGCAGCAGAAACGCTTAAACAAAGCCCTAGTTATGACTGTTTTCCTCTGTGATTTGCAAAGCTCTTCATCAGTGACAAAACCGTAACGATCTGGCAGAAACGATACAACGCATCGGACACTGGAACTGTCACAAGAAAATTCTTCCCTAGAGTAGAAGGAGCATATAGAGCAATGGAGAAAATAAAAACAAATAATGTAAGGGTGCAAATATTGACAGGCCACGGGGGTTTCATGACTTATTTAAATAGATTTGAGTTAGCACGAAACCCATACGCAATTGTGATGACGAAACTCCGCAAACTGTAGAACACATCCTTATAGATTGACTAAGATTTCAATCAAAACGGTCAATCTGTGAGAGCCTTAGTGAGGGTTTTGTGCTACAAGAAAGTACATTAAGCAAAGCGATTAACGACAATGATGGCCGAACCTACTTTCTTCCATTCGCTGAGCACTGCGTGCTTAGAGTGCTGAAGGAAAATGGCTCCACAATATATAGAAATTGAAAAGTAAGCAAGAGAATTAGTATGAAAGTTAATGTAAGCAAGATAGTATGAAAGCAAAAAGAAAAATAAATTGGAATGAACAGTGAGTGAATACGAATACGAAACATGTAAATTGAGGCAGTTTTAGAAATAATATTAATAATACAGAGCTTAGTATTAAATAAGGGAGTGTAAATTGGCGCGCGACTAATATAGAATAGGAACTAAGTCTTTAATGTGTGTTAAGACTTAGTAATAGCATTTTAAAAAAATACTCAGAGATAAAGGATGCTGTAAAATAAATAACAGCAGATGAACTTAGATATTTAAAAAAATGCCTTAGTTTTGATTGCAACATTTAATAAGTGGTAGAGCCACTCTACATCTATATTATGGTTGTATCACGAATGGGTTGGCACGACCGGGAAAGGATAACACTTTCACAGAATACCAGCGTGAAATAGCAGCTTTATGCTGCAGTATTTCGTATAGTGAGTGTAGAGAACCAATGACCTTTTTTTACTGGAAACGAGGCTTTTCATCTTAGTCTTCAAGAGTGATAACGCATCTGCATTTTTATTCTTAGTCGAAGATCTATATAGATATATATGGGACACTCCAATTACCATAAGGTGGACTGTATGCTCGTTTGTCACCATGGATTTTAGAAACTACCTTCGAAGCTACGAACATTGCGAAGTTATAAATCAAAATTGTAATTCCAAAAGGCAAGTACCTCTAGAAACAGATTGTCCAAGTTAACAACGTTGTGATTGATCTTCATTTTGAGCTGCTTACGCACCACATCACTTAGGTTTTTTATGTCCACTTCACTTTTCAAGGGGAAGGTAGATTTTGCTACTTTCTCAAACTCTTCCAATGTTATGGTCTGTGATAAAACAGTTCTACATTAAACACTTTATACACTTAACACATTTGGGCCACCAGGTTCGCCCTGCGGCAGGGCGGCACGGGCGCAAGACCTTCCTTGCTCCCTAAATAATATCTACCGCTGCCATTAAGAGTTTAAAATTTGGAAATGGGTGACAGAAGTGTATTAAGAGCGGCCTCTTTACCCACTATTTACTTTTTGTCTTTTTTTGTGGTAGCACTGCAGAAAGAACTTCATTTTTACGCGGTAACGCTTTTTAACGTGGTAACTTTTCTTAACGTGGCAACGTTTTTATACGTGATAACGTACTTTAGAAGTGGTAGAGCCACGCTGGAGTTTTATGCACTATATTATAGTAGTTATTATTGCTTAACTAGTTGTTATATAGTTAAATATAGACGTCTATAGGCCAATGTATTCACTTACCATCAGGTGGACTGTGTGCTCGTTTGTTATCCTTATTCTATACTAGTAGATACGTGTGTATAGTGTGCTAGTACGCTAAAAAAAGAAATACATTGTGTTTATTAAAATAGTCACCCAGGCTATAAATTATGGCCTTCCAGTTGCGGCAATGTTCCTGGACATGAGCAAGGCGTTTGATTTCGTGGAAATTGTTCTTATACAAATTAGAAAAATATGGGATAAGAGATAAAGCTAACGACTGGTTGAGAAACTATTTATGTGAGAGACAACAATGTGTGGAAATATCTAAAGTCAATAAAGACAAAAAAGTGTTATACAGAAGCGACAATCCGATAAATGACTTTGGCGTGCCACAAGGCAGTGTATTGGGACCATTCTTATTCCTCGTGTATATTAATGATCTTCCTAATATCACTCGCAATAACACAATCTTGTTTGCTGTTGACACAACCCTTATCGTGAAATGCGAAAATGCAGATACATAAGAAATAGAGCTAAATAAAGCAATCAAAAACATAATACACATAACAATTTACAAATTAATATGGAAAAAACTAAAATGATCCAATTTCAGACATATCAGAGAAAACTATTGAATATTAATGTTAAATATAATGATAAGATCATCGGACAAGTAGCAAGCACTAAATTTCTGGGTATAATGTTGGATCAAAATTGCGACTGGAAAACACATGTCGATTACGTTTGTGACAAACTCGACAGATTTGTCTACGCAATAAAAAGATTACGAATCACGGTATCAACTGATGCTGCTCTATGTGCATATCACGGATATGTTTCGTCGGTACTATCATATGGTCTTTTATTGTGGGGCAATTCAGTAGATGTAATAAAAGTATTTAGAGTACAAAAAAAATGTGTGCGTGATTGCACGCACTCATTTTTTTATGGAGCAGGGTATACGGATAGCTGTAAGCCCTTGTTTAAAAAGTATAAGATCTTGACATTAACATGCTTGTACATAAAAGAAATATGCATATTTGTAAAACAACATCCTGAACACTTTGAAAGGCATATAGATGTAACTGAACGAAATGTAGCTCCTAGAAATAAACATAAATTATACTTACCTCAATGCAGGCTCAAATTGTATGAAAGGAACTCTTACGTAAATGCTATAAAGGTGTATAACAAAATACCCAACGACTTTAAAGAGTTAACTTTAACCATTTTTAAAAAAAAGTTGATACAATGGTTAAAAGAAAAATGTTTTTACGACCTAATTGAATTTATGTCTTTTTGTGGAAAATAAATTCGAAGTCAGTAATATTGATATATATCTAATAATTAATTAATTACAAAAAAAAACTGAAAGTATGGACATTAACAATTAAGAACAATCATTACACAATGTGACATTTTAATTGAATTGAAACAATATTATAAAATCACCAAAACTGTATACTTCAATGTAATTTTTACCGTGTATTTGGTTATAAACATATCTATTTTAATTATTTTATCAAAGTACATTAATGTTAAATATCCAAAAAAAGTTTAGCTCGTTTTATTCAGTCAATTATTTTATATAATTATTTTAAAAATAAAATCACCACGCGCAGACGACGTCCGAACGTCCGATTCAGTACGCTCCGGGTAATCCCAACGATAGGATGTATTACTTTTTCTCACCGAAACCGCACGATCGCGTTGATACACCGATAGGGCTATACTACACTATACTATAACTAGCTACCTATAGCATCATCGAGCATTTTAAACGATTGAGACTTTTATAAGCGATATTTTTGGTAGTAAGTAATTTTGAAATATGTTTATGGTAGTGGTAATATTTAAATATTAAATGATGAAATGGTGGCAAATTTACATTTCATACATATTTTTTTAGAAATGGCTAATAAACGTAAGCAATTCGGATCTAGTAAAAATACAAAATCGTTGGCTTTCACCCTTGGTTCCGTGGCGGAGTGACTTGGTAACGAGTTGTAGCGCTGAGCGCCGCGGGTTCGAATCCCACACGGAACAAAAATTTGTATCTACAAATAATTGTTCCGGGTCTGGATGTTTGTTCTTGTGAAATTAATGTATTTAAACTAGGTATGGGCCGAATATTCGTTTCATATTCGGTATTCGGCATATTCGGCATTTTTACCGAATATTCGTATTCGGTCGAATATTCGGCTAAATCACCGAACATTCGTTAAAGTGCTACTCAAGGTGTCCACTGTATTGAAATGTACGAATTGAGTAATGCCATGTCTTTCATAATTTTACTTTTGAAAGTATATTTTATTTATGGGTTAAATCTACTTGTATAGCGTTATGTTTTTAGGCACTATAGATTTATTTCCAATTATAGCAAATATAACGCTTGATAAAATGTTTAAGAATCAAACAAAGAAATATTACATTACATTAGCACATTTCACTTTATTTTGGTCATCAGTCTCTCTAAAATATGTCCAAATAGTAGATCTCCTGCCACTCATTATTATCATAAAATTATCAATTTCTCTAAGAACAACACAACGAAATAGTTATTTCTTGCAAAAATAGTCAAAACATAAGCACGTGCCGACTATTTGCACAGTACTAGTTGATGCAATAACATGTCAGGTGTGGCCGGGAAGCGAGGGACAGGGTCCGACGCTAATCCCGCGCGCTATGTGGTAACAAGTTTCGACATAAATTGGTTAGGTACTGAGATGATCCTGCCGAATAATGTTCGGCCGAATATTCGGTTCGGTAAATTTTTTTACCGAACGTTCGGCCGAATAAAATAAGAATTCGAGTAAAATCCATATTTGGCCCATCTCTAATTTAAACTTCCCCCACGATGTGCTTAGGAAAAATTCCTAGTGTGGAGATAACGTTATGATTAAACAGACATAAAAAAGCTACGAGCCGTGCTTGAGTTGAGCTCAAGCTCTTGTCAGTCGGCTCTTGATACAAGAGCGAAGTGCTCGCCGTAAACGCGAGCAATCCGGGTTCGATCCCCGCCAACACTAATGAAATTGTTAGTTTGATGAATTATGTTTACATTATAAAACAGAGTAAAAGTTTATCAAATGATATATATTTTATATAATACATATTTTTCAATTAGAACATATATACTCAATAGGGTGAAAATGTAAAGCCGACTTAAATTTAATAATTGAAACCAAAAGCATATTTTATAATTTTTTTAGTTCCAACAGTATCAAAATGATTCGTGCAACTATAGGTACATAGATTACTGTATATATGCTAGAGATAAAGACAACTAACCTCGCGCTCGCCCTAACACGCACACAGAGATAACATTGTAGTATGCGTCAATATTACGCCGTTCCAAAGCGATCGCGTAGATTTCGACTTGGACATATTTGAATATACTGCTGTGTTTCGTATGGTGAGTGTAAAGATTCGGGGACCCTTTTTACTGAAAACGAGGAATTCCATCTTATTCCTCAGAGGTGACAACGCATCTACGTTTTAATTTTAATCGAGAGTAAATGTAGAGTTCTATGGGCCACAGCATCCCCTTACCATCAGGTGGACTGTGTGCTCGATTGACACCCTTATTCTATACAAAAAACAGAAAAAATTTAAATTGTAATTCTGAGAAAAGGTAACTTTAAAAATCTAAAAAGTATGGAATAAATTTCACATAATAGCTTCTGAAGCTAGTGCTAGTATTTTTTTTATAGAATAAAGGTGATGAACGAGTACACAGTCCACTTGGTGCCACCATCAAGGCACATCTACATTTATCCTCGATTACGAATCAAAATGCAGATACGTTGTCACCCCTGAGGACTAAGATGGAATGCCACGTTTTCAGTAAAAAAGTGTCTGGATCTCTACACTTACTATACGAAACACAGCAGTATCAAGCTTCTATTATACGCTGGTATTCTGCGAGAGCGTGGTCCTTCCCCAGTCGAGCCAACCTATTCGTGCTACAACCATAAATATATATATATATATATACAATATATATATATATATATATATATGCAGCGTCTCTCTACCACGTATAACTGTCTTTTGCTGACTACGAGTACACTAACCTGTCCGTGCGAGCCTGTGGAGGTCCGCCTTGAGTGCGTCGTAGTGCCTCTGTGCGCCCAGTGCACGTTCTCGATGAGCGCGGCATGCAGCGTGCCGCAGATCAGCCGCAGCTGCGGCTCGTCTTACTAACTATATTTCTACGTACCTCACCATCCCGTGCGTGCCTGTACAGGTCCGCTTTGAGTGCGTGGTACGCCTCCCTGTGCGCCCAGTACACGTCCTCGCTGAGCGCGGCCAGCAGCGTGCCGCAGAACAACCGCAGCTGCGGCTCGTCGAGAGCGCGCCGCGCACCCGCACACACGTTGTACGCCCACTCCGCGCGCACGCCCGCTGCCGCGTACCTGCCCACCGCTGGCCTCACTCATTCACTCACATCGATCGGAAGGTACACAGAAGACTGCGAATCACCACTGGCCTTACACACCTCACCCATTCACACCGACTGAAAATTGCGAGGCACTACATCTACATGCTTATGTGCGCTGGGTTGGTTTTGTATCGTGCGGTACGAGTTCGATTGCGATTTTGGCCTCAATCCACGTATAATGAAGTCTTAACAGGGTTTTACGTGGAAATACCTTTTTAGTTTTCAAATAAATGATTTATTTAAAGTTTTGAGGCATGTCGACCAGAGATCGTAAGTAATCGATTTTTCGAACACACATAGAATCGATTTAATAACTCGTTGAGTTGGAATTGCCAACCATATCCATGTATCCAAGGCAATCTCTAATTACTCTTAATACTCTATGAGAATCTCTATGAGAGGCCTACGTTCAGCGTTGGACTTTTGATTGGCTGTAATGAATTAATGGATGAACGTATTTGACGACGTCGTGGCGCATTGGCTTAGTCTTGTGTTTTTTTATAGAATATGAGTGACAAACGAGCACACAGTCCACCTGATGGTAAGTAGATGCTTTGGCCCATAGACATCTACATTTATCCTCAATTAAAAATCAAAATGCAGATGCATTGTCACCCCTGAGGATTGAGATGGAATGCCTCTTTTACAGTAAAAAGGTTCTCCGGTTCTCCACACTCACTACACGAAACACAGCAGCGTTAAGCTGCTATTTTACGCTGGTATTACCCCGGTCAACCAGCCGCCACCAGCCAGCCGACTCATTCGTGCTACAAATATAGCTGCAGCGTAGCTCCACCACGCATAGGTGATGGCATCCTTTTATGACCTACAAATAATTGTTTCGGGTCTGAAGTTTGTCCTTGTGCATTTTATATATGTAAACTGCCTCCATGAAACAGGCAAAAATCCTGGTGTGGGGGTAACATTTTTTAAAATACAGAGAGAAATTATGTAATTATCAAAAAATATTTTTTCAAGTTTTGAGACATCTCGATCGAAGACCGTAAGTAAACGGTTTTTCGAAACATGTGACCGATTCATTGAATTGATCTAAGAACTCGTAGTATTGGAATTGCCCACCATATCCCTACTATGAGGCAACGAAAACGAAATTTGAAACGCCTACAACGAAATTTGAAAAACAAAAATAAAAAACTTTTTTTAAACCTACAGCAGAAGACTTTTGATAGTATATAATTATTAATGAATGGCTGAATGAATTTTGTCTAATATAATTTCATTGTGATACAAGTATCTCTTGTTCTATCTATTTATATACGAGTAGCTCTTGTACCGTGATTTTAGCTAACTTCCGATATTATCGCTTTTTGTATACACTATGAGTGATAAATAAGCACAAAGTCCACTTGAAGGTAAGTTGATGCCGTGTCCCATAGAAATCTTCATCTACCCTTGTTTAAGAATCAAAATGCAAATGCGTTGTTACCCCTGTCGATTAAGATGGAATGCCACGTTTCCAGTAAAAACTGTGTTCGGATTTCTCACTCACCATACGAAACAAATTCTTCTTTCATCTGATTGATTCACGCTGGTATTATGTGAGAACGTGGTCCTATCAAGCTAACCCATTCGTGCTGCAATAGCTCAACCACGTAATGATGCTTAAACGTTCTAACATACACAGTTTGGTGAAACAAGTAAGTAAAAAAACGTAAGGTATACCAGCAGTATTGCTTAGACGATAAAATTCTAACATAACCTCCTTGCCTTCCCCAGAGTTGCTCATCCATCCACAAGAAAACATCCTGCTTTCTTTATCAAAGAAATTAAAATAATAATTCTAATATATTAATTTATATTTGGCAGCAACCCGTCGCAATACGTCACCTCTCTTCAAAGTACTGCGTGACGTAGTCCTGCATGGGCCCGATCGACGTCGATATCGGAGGCCGTGGAGGCACTAGGAACGTTCGATTTATCTGCACAGTCTGAAATCGCTACGATAAATCGTTACGTATGTAGCAGGCATAACATGTCAATTCACACGTATAAAGTCAACACGAGATGTGTTTTGACGTTACAATCGTTTCCAAATTTCGCATGCAAATTATTTAGAAAATGCCAAATTGCACCCTATTTACAAATAAATATGTATTAAAATTTAATGATGATCTTGAACATTAATCAAAAGTCTAAAGGCGGAAACATATTTACGTGTCGTGATACTTACTGTCGTGACGGTGAGTGTGCACACTAACGTGTCGTGTCGTGGCGTGCTCTGGCGTTATTTTTGAACAGTACTTAACGAACCTTTACGGCGTTCAAACATACATAATGTTTTCTTCTGATTCGGATAGTGATTTTGATGAAGACCTTCAATTTCTCTTAGCAACGAAACTTTATGAGCGCAAAAAAAAGAAAAGAAGATACTGGGTTCACCCTATAAACAGAAGGAGACTAGACAAAGGTGAATTTCATCGTCTTGTTAAAGAATTAGAGAGTGACGAAGAGAAATTTCATCAGTACTTTAGAATGAACAAAACACAATTATGAGGAAGTCCGTTCGTTGATTGAAGGAGACATAAAAAAGTACATACTAAATTTCGCGAACCCATAGGTACTAAAGAAAGACTTGCGTTATGTTTAAGGTAAGTTGTATTGCTTTAAAAGAATAAAATTTACCATGCTGTTGTATGAACTAGGTTTAACAATCATTTATCATGAAACTAGCATTATTATGAAATCAACATTTAAGTAATCACACTCTGCTGTCTTATTTATTACTTTAACAATCATTGTTTTATCATTAAATCATTAGTTCAACCATCATTTTCAAGTACACCATCATCCAAATTTATATTGTCATAGTATGCCCAAGTCATCTGATGATGACTGGATATATGTGGGTGACTGAGCGTGTGTAGTTGACTGGTTGTATGTTGGTGATTGAACGTCTGCAGTAGTTTGGATGTATGTTGAGGACTGATGTTGCGGACTTGATTGGATGTATGTTGAGGACTGATGTTGCGGACTTGATTGGATGTATGTTGAGGACTGATGTTGCGGACTTGATTGGATGTATGTTGAGGACTGATGTTATAGAGTTGATTGAATGAATCTTTGAGTTGTTATTTTTATAGGCGTTCTTAAAATCTTGTTTCTGTGTTCCAATTGCCGTATTACTGCTTGGGAAATAGCGGTGTGCAAGACTAACTTTATTTTTGTTTGTTCTAGTTTTGACAGCGCTTTTACTTCTTTGCTCATACTAAGGAAGAATAAATCAGTTTCGTCCATGTCTTGTCTAACATTTTGTTTCTGACGTCTTAAATCTTGGGACGATTTCATTAAATCGTACAACTCTTGTAGTTCGGATTCGCGATTAGTTTTTCAACGTGACGAACTGGATTGAGATTGACTTCGAGCAGTACTTGGACTTGCTGAAAAACTTTCGTCGAGAGAGTCCTCTGTAGGTGGTGATTCCGGTGTAGGCATCACATTTGTTTTTGTGTTCCTACATTCCATATAAGGAAGAAGAAAACCCATGCTTTCTTCATGTTTCCATGGCACTAACGCTGCAGCAGCCTGTCTACTCTTCTTGTTTGTCTTGTCTTCAAAGCGCTAGCGAAAGCATTCCTTAGTTTCGCCCAGTCATCCTTGCATTTATTTACTGTAACAAAAAATAATAATTGTTTATTTCTTTTCAGATTTTTAGCTACTAGACACACTTTTCGATCGTTGGCGTTCAACTATCGCATGGGACTTTCGACTGTGAGAGTTATAGTAGAAGAAGTGTGCCAAAGTGTGAAGTATGTGAAGCCATTTGGAAAAAAATGGCACCTATTGTAATGCCTACACTTTCAGAACAAATGTGGAAGGAGATTGCAAATAACTTTAAACAATTTTGGCATTTTCCAAATTGTATTGGAGCATTGGATGGGAAACACGTTAACATAATTTGTCCAATAAACGCAGGTTCTACTTTCTATAACTATAAAGGAGAACATTCCATAGTTTTACTTGCATTAGTTGACGCTCAATACAAATTCATCATGATTGACGTAGGTGCGTATGGCCGAAACAGTGACGGTGGCATATACGACAAATCTTTGATGGGAAGATTATTTGAGCAGAAAGCATTAAATGTGCCACAGGATGAACCACTGAGTCAAAACTCGCAACCTATGCCATACACTATTGTTGCTGATGCAGCATTCACGTTGAAACCATATTTGTTAAAACCTTATCACAAAGACAAGCTAGCTAACAATGATGCAAATAAAATATTTAATTATCGCATATCACGTGCGCGCCGGTGTGTAGAAAACGCGTTTGGTATTTTACGGGCTCGATTTCGAGTATTTCATGGACCTATGCAAGTCCAGCCGGACATGGTAGACAAGATTGTGCTAGCTGCTTGTTGCCTTCATAATTTTTTAAGAACACAAACATCGCTAAGCACAGATAAACCTGAAATTTTTTTTATGGATTCTATTGACCATAACAGCAACATCGATTGTCTGCTTAATATTGAATCTTTACCAAGAAACCCATCACAAAACGCTGTTTATGTCAGAGAGAAACATAAAGAATATTTTATTAGTCAAGAAGGGAGAGTACCATGGCAAATAGAAATGATTCGCCGGGGTAGACAAAATTCTTAATAGTAGATTGTTGCATCGAGCGTAAAGTGAGTTTCAGTGGGAGGGGGTCGAAAATTATGTTAGATTTTAGCTACGACGCAGCGTTTTCGAGATATTCTCCTTTTTATTCATTCTTGAAAATTCTGGCTCCATACAAAATCAGTTGAAATTTTGTTAAGCCCTGCACACCCTTTGCTACACTCCCACAAAAAACAGTGCATTAATGAAAAACTAAGTAAAAAAAAAAAGCAAAAAAAAATACGTACTTTGTGATCGGTTTTGTAGTGAATAATGATAACATTACTACGTAGTTGATAGAAAACAGTTTGATAGAAAAATTGTTTTTTTGTATAATTATTAATTTATCCCTTTTCAAATAAATAATAAAGTGAAATACTATTTTATTGTCTTACCTGGTTCTTTCAAAATTTCAGCAATTTCTTCCCAATCAGCATTTCCCATCAATTGATCCTTGTACTCTTTACACTTTTCGTTGACGTACAAGTTCAAAAGTCATTTTGCTGCAAATATAATTATTAAAAAGTGTCCGCTAGATGTTCGCACCACGAGCCCCGCACCGGTATAGAAACACACTTGCCTGTTGTTCACGTCGCGTCATAACCCCCACCACCGCTCTGGCGCAATCGGTGGTGAGCAGTCGGCGCCACGACAGAACGTGTTGTGACGCGACACGACATGCAAATATGTCCCTAACCATATTAAATGTGTGAAACCGATATGCTTCTGGCGCGCCACGACACGTAAATATGTTGCCGCCTTAAAATGTGTAAATTTACTCAGTCTGTCAACACAGCGAATCGGGTTTGGCGACGCAAATCCTCGTATAAAATAAAGTTGACAGCCATTCTTATGTGTATTATAGTATTCTATGGTTCAGCTTATTCGCGTTAAAAAATAATGTTGTCCATTCCGCTCGCATTACTCAGTTGCGCCCGACAACGCTACTATGCTTGCCTTGATGCGGTGACTAGTTGTACAGATTATTTACCATAATAAGAGTTAATAATCTTGTTTAACAACTTTTAATTAAACTGTTGTTCTGCATATAGACATAAAAAAGATAAAAGAACTACCAACAATAATGAAAAGCATAGATGGCCAGCTTTCTGGCTTTTGCGCTTGCAATTTTTTTTTATAAATTCGGAATGATTTAACTTCTGGGCAATAGAATTTATATGGAAAAGATTCCAAGTTATGACAGTCTTTCCTGACACATAGTAGAAACGTAGGTAAAATTTTAAATGTACTAAAACTGTAAAACGCTTGTAAGCAACAAAATACTCGTGCTTTGACTTCCTAATTAGCGTCAACAAAACGGAATGTTAGTGTTAAGAGTAAGTTGAATGTCGTCTACAATGTCCTGTGGGACAATGCAGGTATCGGGCCTCGGGGAGACCCCCATTGCCCGGGTGTCCTCATATCCCATTACTATGGGACAGTCCTTTAGCCTATTTTAGGCTCGATAGCATAACACGGGTTTTTTCCGTGGTGACAGTAAATTGTTTTTCCGTAGTTATCCAACTACGGAAAAAGGTGGTTATTTGGTAAGTCTGAGTTGGCCTTTCTGCGGCATTGTGGGTTGTTACTCAACTCTCTAATCACATATAGAGAGGAGTTCTCTTGAAAGAGGTCGCCCGTCCGGTGGCCGGGTGTGTAACGGCGCAAAGCCGTTAAGGTGTTCGTGTGGCCGTTATCGGCACGGTCGAACATGCCGCGCGCTAACCGGGCCACGAAGTCGGTGATGTTCTCGATCTTCAAGTCGGCCGCTATCACGTCGTTCCGGACGTAGCGACCTGCTCCGACGATCGTCCTTAATGTCAGATTCTGCTGGGCCTGCAGTCGCCGCCTCAGAGGGTCGCTCAGAAGTGCGTACCAGGCCGGTGCAGCGTAGGTGATGATGGTCCGGATATACATCTTGTATATCCGGAGCTTGGTTCGTATGGGCAGCTTGGATGCCAGGACCGGCAAGAGCGTCGCCCGCGCACATCGGGCCCGGCGGACGACGAAGTCGACGTGCGCGGTCATGCGCAGCGTCCTGTCGATCCTGCACCCAAGGTAGGTTACAGCCTTCTGATACGCAATCTTCTGGCCGTTGAGGGTCAGCGGAGGTGGAAACTTCCTGAGACGGCGAGTGAGCAGAGCGGTCGTCTTACCAACATTGACGACCATCCTCCACTCATCCAGCCATGGTGGCAGCAGGTCCAGCAGACGCTGCATCTTGGCAGTGGCTATGTGGGCTCTTCTGGACGAGGTGAAATAGGCGCTATCGTCCGCGAATAGCGCCAGCTCAACGTCGTCCTCCCACTCTTGAAGCCTGCCTGCCAGTGTAGGTATATCATTGGTGTAAGCCGCGTACAGGACTGGCGACAAACAGCTGCCCTGTGGGACGCCGGCTTTAATGGTTCTCGTTGCGGTTTCGGCGTCTTCTACGCAGACGTAGAACTTCCTGTCTTCCAGGAAAGACGCTATTAACCGCAATATAGCAAGAGGGACACTGGTCTGTTCTTTCAGTTTATATAATAATCCTGCGTGCCACACCCGGTCGAACGCCTTCTCGATATCGAGAAAGACGCCCAACGATATGCGGCCACGATTGTACTCTGCCGCAAGCAGGTGCAGCACTCTAGTCAGCTGTGTGACTATGGAGTGACCCCTCCTGAATCCGTGCTGCTCCGCCCGAAGTTGGATGCACGGACGGAGACGTCTTAGCAGCAATTTTTCAAACAGTTTAGCTATATGTGGTAATAGCGTGATCGGCCTGTAGTTGGCAGCTCTACGCCTGTCCTTCCCGGGTTTCGGTAAGACGATGACTTTGCCTTTTTTCCAGTCCTCCGGGAAGTGGGATGTCCGCAGTATCCCATTGTAGAGTCGACCAAGCTCTACTATGACTCTATTGGGCAGCTGTCGGAGTGCAGCGTTGGTAATCCCGTCGTGCCCCGGCGCCTTCCTCGGTTGCAGGCAGGTTTACTGTCCTCCGCAATTCTGCGGGGGAGATGAACCAGTCTCCTGCAAGAGGCGGCGCGGGCGACGACAGGAACTCCTGTACGCGACTTTCCTTCCGGGCATGAAGCTCCATAAACTCCGCACTTGCTGTATTCGGCATAAATTGCTCCTCGAAGTGCTCGACTAGGATATCCGCTCTGCCCTTGGCATCGTAGCATCGTTTGCCCGTATTATCAGTCAGCGGGCAAACGGGAGGTTTGGATTTGGTCAACTGCCGGTTCAGTTTGTAGAGCGACGCATCATGCTCTTCCGCCTTCTGGATGCGCCGATCCCAGGCCTCTCCTCTGAAGGCCTGAACTGCAACCGACAGTTCCTCCGATAAGGTGTTCAGCTGTGTCTTAATTCTGGGACAGCGAGTACGCGCCCAGAGCTTTCTCAGCGCCCTTTTGCGCTTGATCTGCACGCATATCTCACGCGGCAGATCGTCTCGCCTTGCTGTAATCGGGACGACCGTAGAAGCCGCGTGGAGGGCTTCCTTGATGTTGTTGGTAATTCTGGTGGCAGCGGCCTCTACGTCGTCCGCTGTGCTTATAGGATGGTGTGCTGGAGGTCTCTGCTGAAGGTGTTGACAGTAGAGCCTCCAGTCGACACGGGTTTTAAAAGCTCTAGGCGGCGTAGTCACTGCCTTTAGGCCAAGGGTTATCAGTAACGGGAGGTGCTGTGAAGGAAGGTCGTACAGCACTTCTACCACTATCGGATAGTTGACGTTCCTAGTGAGCACGATGTCTAATACATCCGGATGCCTCCGTGGGTCAGTAGGAACGTGAGTTGGTTCCTCGGGACCTAGAACGTCGTACTGGTTCTTTTCTGCGTCTTCGTATAGCTCAAAACCCGGCGGGGTGATCACTCTGGACCCCCACGCCGGGTGTTTGGCGTTCAGGTCCCCGGCGATGATTGTAGGTGTATCGCCTTCCATCACCGTCCGGATGTCTAAGGAGCAGAATGGAGTCCCTGGCGGGCGGTATGCTGCATATATCCTTAGTTCCTCGCCCGCCGCCTCCATTCTTATGCCGATTGAGCGCATTGTCTGGTAGGATGGTAGTTCCAGCTCTTGGTGGACGATGTCCCTCCTCACTAGAACCGCCGTCCCTCTGTAGGCGGCCCCTTGAGAAGTGACCTCGTCCCTTCTGTAGATATGGAAGTTTGGCAGCTTTATTTGCGTCTTTGGATTCAATATTGTTTCGCCCAGCAGTATGATATGTATGTCCTGTTGCTGGGCGACAGTGCGGAGTTCATGTAGCTTCTGCCGTATACCGTCGGGTTCCAGTACATTAGGCGCAGGTTATTCTCCTCCATAGTGCCTGGCCAGGAGGTTTGCCAGCGCCTTCATGATCGCTGTTACGGGGTCAGTCCCGGCTCTTATATCGGCCAGGACTTGCGTGCCGACCTCGATGGCAATGCCAACTAAGCGCTGGATTGCATCAGCTGTTTCGAGGCCGGCAGTCGGTGGTCTCCTATATGAAGGCGTTGGCACTGGTCTCGGGCGTTGATCATCTTTCTGCGTATGCTTCTTCTGGGTAGAGCGCGCTCTATGCACAGAGCGGGCTCTGTCTTCGGGTAGAGCCCTTTCTTGCACTCTACCCACGCCCTTTTTGATGGTCTCTTTCGTAACCTGCGCCTGTGAGGCTGCTGGTCCTGGTGTCGGGGTAGAGGTAACAGCCCGAGGAGGCTGCGATTTCCTCCTGCTACTCCCCCGCCTCCTCTTTTTAGAGGGTTGCCTCTCCGTGGCAGGGTTGGCGGGGGGTTGCAGAGTCGCCCCGGTGGTTGCCCTTACTTCAGCGGGTTCCACCGTTTCCTTGTCTGATGATGCTGGTGGGGGGGGGGCTGATTGTCTGCCCTTCCCCGTAATGGTTGCCCACCCGTCTTTCTGAACGGTAACTGCTTTAGGGCGACTCTGGGGGATCCTTTTCGGGTCCTCCGGGAGTAGCCCCGGTAAGGTAATCCCCTGTCTTCGAGCAGTCCTCCTCAGGACTGGACAGCGACGGTCGTTGGCTGTATGGTTCTTGCCACAATTGGCACATGTGGGTTCCTCTTCCCTACCCCGAGGGCAAAGGCTCGCTATATGCTCCCCGGCGCAGCGCACGCACGTCACCGGCCTGAAGCAGTTAGCTGAGGCGTGTCCGAAGGCCTGGCAGCGGTGGCATTGAGCCGGTCCTGCTTTCCTTTGCCAGGCCTCTATAACTACTCCCCTCATGAAGAGTAGTTCGTCTATGTTATATAGTTCTTTAAGCTGCTCCAGGCTTAGGTGGTCAAACTGGGCGAAGTAGACGCATCCAGGTCTGCCTCTTCGCGGTGGAATAGCCTTCACATATTTGACCGGGAAGCCCTTTGCCTTAATGGCCTCCTCTATGGTACTGGTATCGGTCCCCATTGGTAGGCCCCGGATGCCCACTTTGGTGGGCTTGTCTTCATCCGGGGTATAGCAGTACCACGACATGTTAGGTGTTGCCTTGGAAAGTTCAACCATATAACGTTGAACAGTCCTAAATTCAGTGGCGCTCTGTGGTGTAAATCGAACTCCCTTCCCGAACGGACGGGCATTCAATGGGTGGCCCAACATTCTATTGAGCTCCTTGAAATGCCTCGTCCAATCCGGGAGGCATTCAGCCACTATGGGCGGATATCTCGTTTTCTCCTCCTGGTCGGCAGGCTTGTCAGAAGTCGCTGCCGCCGGTTTTGGTCGGGTCGTGGTACTGCTGGCGCAGCTACCATATGGGCGTAGCTAGTAGATGGCCGTTGGCCATCATCCAGCGGACGCCCGGACGGATTTTCGGTTGTCTTCCTAGGCGACATGGACGGCGAGTGTCCAGCCGATGTATTCGGGGCTAAGGTCGCATATGTTGTGGCACTCCAACCGTACGACCCTTCTCCTCCCTGCTCTAGATCCACAGCTTCCATGCTGGAGTGATGTTCCTCTGATCTAGGGGGGAGTGGGTTTAGTCGGCGATGGCGACTTCGGTTGTGATCTCCTTATTGGTCGTTGGTCTTGTTCCTCCTCGGATTAGTCGTAATCCGAGGAGTTGGAGGATCCTAGGCATTGTCTCTTCTCCTGCAATGATGCTGCAGTCTCAGGCGGAGTGTGCCTTCTCCACGACTTCTTAGTCCGCTGTTGTTGGGGAACCGGTTCCAGCCCAGTCGTACCTTTAGGTACGATGGGCGAGAGCGCGGTCCTCTGTGCGGGTCCTTTTCCTGGAGATAGGGGGTTTCCTAGTCGGGATCTGCGAGTAGGAAGACACTACTCGAGTCCTTTCCGGATAGAAGATGTCCCGGTATGCTATCGGTCGATCCAGAATGCTTGTTCGGTCCGGTGGTTTTCTGGTTCTCGGTGGTGGCTCCCCCTTATCATTGTCCTTATCGGACATGGTGAACCTACCTAAGAGTCAGTAGTCTAACTAACGGCCCTGTCTATATCCAGCCGATCGGCTGTAATGCGCGACGCGGATGGAGGTTGCAACTAGATTGGCGTAGTCACTTGGGGCACTGCCTACCCCTTTTGTCAACAAAAGGGTTGGGGGAAGTGCGACGGCGGCACTTTATTACGCGACTAGGCACAGGATGCACGAAGCGCATAAAGTGCCAAGAATCACCTAGGGGCCGGTGACCTCGACGCCTCACGGAATCACGGGACTCAACGATCGGCGGAGTTTGTCGAACCGGCGGTTATTTGCAGCCACTGCTAAGTACGAAATAATGCACACCTAGGAGATCCTTAAGAGTAAGTGAATTGGTGTTGGTGACCGGTGCCCGGTTGTAGCGTTTTGGTTGATTTAGGCGACCCCCCCCCCGCGCCCGGTGCGTTCGCACCGCTTGCACCGCTCACACCGCCCTAGGGCCGCCACTGTATGAGTGCTTTACAGCACCCATGGTCACGGGCATAGATTACTGTATAATATATACTTGGTCACGAGAGGGACTGAGATGATTAACGTCCCAATGTTATAGCCTGGTTACCTTCAGTTTTTGAATATTAATTTTTGGTCCTATATAAGCAACAAAAATATAAAAAATAATATTCAAAAATTGAAGGAAAATTTAAGAAATCACTTTGCTACGCCGGAAAATAAGAAACTGTTAATGCAATTTTGAGTGCTTACGTTCTCAGTGGTAAAGGAAAATATCGAAAGGAAACTTGACTGAGAAATTAAAACAAATATTTAAGTATAAGACATGTGAAATTCATTTTAGTCACGCATTGATTCAGCGCGGCTGAAACTTCCTTGCCTTAAAACCCTCTTAGAAATGAGGAGAGGCCCGTGCCCAGTAGTGGGATGTATATAGACTGTAACTTTTCTTTATTTTTACCTATCTCGACCTCCAGCAATGAAGTCAGCGCAGATTTCCCATTGCGGCCGCGGAGTGCCAGCCCTCTCCAACTCTCTGCATCTCTCCTTAATCTCGGACAATTCTTCTTGTAAACTTTTCTTTTGTGCTGCAATTATTACTGTTAATTGCAAAATGTCCACAATGTTAACGGGTTTAAAACAAATATCTTGCTTTCTTATCTGGGAATGAAAGGTTCTCGATAGGAAGTAAGAGAAGAAGTTAATGGATACAGATGACTCAGGGCTTTGCTTTGTGACATCGCTTGAGGGACTTGAGGGCTTTCGTTCAGTAGTAGCCTCATAATGATGATGATTTTGTTATAAAGATATTAATAGTTACTTTGCAACCATCCGTTAAATTAAATTAAATGATGTGTCTTCCCTAGTTTGAAGAGCACCTCCCGCCCTCCCTCAATTGCGTGCACTAATCTCGTCACCACCAATCCCAGCACCACTTCAAACTAGGGTAAGTTCTTCAATCTAGGGACTTCAAACACATCATTTTATTTAATTTAGCGGATGGTTGCAAAGTAACTATTAATATTGAATAAAACTATTATTTACGGATTTTATCGCGTTTAATTACAACTGTAATAACTCTAATAAATCACGGGGGGGACGACGAAAACGACGAAACGTCGGGATAGTAAAAAAAAATTAAAGTTGTAATTAAACGCGATAAAATCCGTAAATAATAGTTTTATTCAATGTGTAGTGTTCGCGTAAATTTAAGAAATCATTAACTATTAATATCTTCATTATAATGGATTTCCGCAAAGTAACGGCTGATTCTATCGATCATTTTGTTTTTCTTCTTCATCAAACAAAAAAACCACAGCTGGACATGGGCCTCTCTTATATTAGAAAATCGACCACGCTTGAGATTTATGATACACAGTATAACACGCCTCGCACCTTTGACACCGATCCTTGTCGCCGATCTGGCTATTTTAAGTTTGACGTTAACTAGATAGTTTTACTGCAACCTATCCGATGCCTGAGCATACGAAAGATCTAATATCTATTATAATTCTCTAATATCTTAGCGGTCAGCCGCCGTAGAGTCTACATTACCTGAAGATGCCTCGTGTAGAGGCGAAACACGTGTCGTATTATCGTTGATGGTGTGTCTTGCCTGCACTAGTGGTGTTGGGAGTAGTGGTGCTGGGAGTAGTGGTGACGGAGTTAGTGCATGCAATTGAGGGAGAGCGGGAGGTGCTCTTCAATCCAGGTAAGACACATCATTGTAGGTATTTGTTTAGCGGAAGGTTGCGAAAAAATTTATATTTTTATTTTTTATTATAATGGATTTCCGCAAAGTAACGCCTGATTCTATCAATTATCTGATATCTCTCCAATATATAATGCTCTAGTCGCTTATTACAACACCCACGGGACGAAATCTAGTTATAGGTTTACTTTTGGTGCCATTACACTGCAAGACTTCTGACGAAATCTAGTTATAGGTTTACTTTCGACACCATTACACTGCAAGACTTCTGATGAAATCCAGTTATAGGTTTACTTTCGACGCTGCAAAGATTTCTATGTATACTACAAGAAAGGCAATTCAAAACAAAAATCGCGCCACAGCAGTGTAACGCACGGGTGGGTAGCTGACACGGTAAATATGCCACGCAGTTGTATTTTCATTTACAGTTCCTGTTTTAGGCCAATACGAAATAAAGTTATATACTTATCTGAAATAAACTTCAAATCACGTTGTCGAAGTGCGCATATAAACAATGACAGCGTTTTCTTAGTCATATTAAACAAAATCAGCGTTAGATTGTCGTAAACAATACTCGCAGTTTACAAAACAAAGACCTATGGTCTTCTCACCCGCTCGTAGTTGACTAAAGAAGTTGCGAAGAATTGACCTTTAAAGTGCATGTATTATTACCGTAGTGCTCGTCTCGTAGTATACATAGAATTCTTTGTTACACGTCATACATGACGGATATATAACCAACCTACAACACGCCTGTAACAATTCTCTAGTGCCTCGTACTCTGTTTTAAGGGTGTCAAGCTTCTTGTTGAGCTCGTTGTGCTTGTTCTCCAAGACATCGTACTCCCGTCGCGGGACAGTGTCAGAATAATCATCGATCATTTTCTTCAGCTTGCTCTGTGTTGCTGACAGTTGTTCTCTGGACATTGTGAGAAGTAAGGTGATATAACAACTGTGATATGACGATATGATTTTATGTTTTTATGGTATGTGGCGATACATTTATAAAAGGAAAGAAACGGAAGTGTTTATTATAGAGCGAAAATATGTAAATAACACGGAAAGTATGTGAGTTTTGGCCGCCTTGCTTATTATTTCTCTTGAAGTGTTTTTTTATTAGATAGGTGTGACAAACGAGCACACAGTTCACCAGACGGTAAGTAGTTGCTGTGGCCCATAGACATCCACATCTATTCTCGATTGCGAATCAAAATGCAGATGCATTGTCACCCGTGAGGACATGCCTCGTGTCCAGTAAAAAGGGGTCCCGGTTCTTTACACTCACCATATGAAACACAGCAGCGTTAAGCTGCTATTTTACGCCGGTATTCTGAGAGTGCGTGGTTCTACCCTGGTCGAGCCGAACCATTCGTGCTACAACTATACCAATTATATAGCTACAGCATGGCTCTACCAAGTAAAATCTATGCATATAAATAAAATTGAAGTGTATATATGTAATATTGAAATAACTGGCTTCTTTTTATAGCTCAGGGGATTACTTGCATGTAATATGAAAACTTTGAAGATTTTTTGATACTCGTTGTATCCATTCTTTATTCGAACGGATTGTATATACTTTTTTTTTCATAGAATTAGCGTGACAAACGAGCACACAGTCCACCTGATAGTAAGTTGATGCTGTGGCCCATATACATTTATCCTCAATAAAGAATCAAAATGCAGATGCGTTATAATCCCTCAGGACTAAAATGAAATGCCTCTTTTCCCGTTAAAATCTCGGTTCTCTATATTCACCACACGAAAGACATCAGTATTCAGCTGCCATTTTACTCTATTCTGTAAAAGCGTGGTCCTACCCCGTTCGAAGCGACCCATTCGTGCTACAATATTTTTACTGGAAACGAGGCATTTCATTGTAGTCCTTAGAAGTGCATAGCACCGGCGTGGTTCTACCACGTAATCTATCATAATGTAAATGTTACGACTAAATACCTAACTGCAAATACACGTAGATTTAGCCGGCTTAAACTAGGTGCAGCAGATTGTGGTATACTTAGGTATTGATACTTTTAATTTTGTTAAAGACATACGTATTCATGTATCAAGAAATATCAGCGACGGTAGATTAAGGTGCGGATATTTATCTAATTAATAAATTATATGGGATATACCTATAGATATTTAACCACCGCAATTCGCTGCACCAAATTATAGCTGGCTAAGTCTAGGTGGAGAATCGTGGTAGGTCAGAGGTAAGCGTTCCCTGTAAATTTCACAAAACGCGGAACTTCACAAAATGGGTTTAAAACACGGACAATCAAGGGTTCGATCCCTGCCGGCAACAATGAAATAGTTAATTGCAATTTTACCGCGTGCTCGGCGGTGAAGGTGAACAACGTGAGAAAAACTGCTTAAAAAATATATTTCAAAGGTATGTGAAGTGCGCTAACCCGCTTTGAAGCAGTGCGTTAGATATTGCCTTGATTTAAAACCCTCTCAGATAAGATAGGAGATCGGTGTGCTTGTGTACCTAACTTTACTACTTTCAACCTAGGTGTATTCACACTTCGGCTTTTAGTCGTAACATATACAATACTTGACCATGTGACTACCTTGCTGTTCTTGCTCGGATCAAATCATATACTGGGTTTTATGAATTCTCAGTATCAGCCTGGAGTCAGAAAGCTGGCGATATTTTACGCTTGTTTCTCGGAAAGAACGTAAAGTCGTTGGTTATGCGCCGGATTTTTTGCCCTTTCATCAAGCTATAATTGAAGTAGTTACGAGTAAACCGGTGCTTGCGCATATACTCTTGCACAATAATCCTGTCCTGCACAGATTATATACACATAGTACATACTCTGTGCAGGACAGGATTATTATTTATTACATAGTATCCGTTAAGACAGGCCGCTGTAACCTTAATTTGGTCTGGAGGACATTATTATAACATGACCCTGTAAATAACGTACCTACAACGATCAAGAGCAATTCGTAATATCACAGGATCTCCCTGTTCTTCATTGTATTGGTGACATTGGGATGAGTTGACCAATTCCTTGCATTTCAGTTCAAGGGCTAAATTTTCGTGGTACAAGGTGTATCGGGCGTCTCTCTCTCTCATTAACATAAGGTAGTCGGAGAACTTATCGTCTCTTAACTGAAAAAGTATTATTTGCTTTTAAAATGGATGTGAATTACTATAAGTACTGTAATGTATTATAGTATTCTATGTGAATTAGATATGATTTACTACTAGCTCGGCGGTAAAGGAAAATATCTTGAGGAAACGTGGCTTCTGCGAAATTAAAAAAGATCTAATTAAAGACATGTGAAGCCTGCCAACACGCATTGGGGCAAACTCGTCGGAAAATTCCGGCATAACAAACTCTCAGAATCGAGAAGAGGCGTATTCCCAGTAGTGGGACCTATTCAGGTTGCAATTATTTTCTCTGCATAAAAGATAAGGTAAAACCTATTAAAAACTGAATAACCGAAAGTGAGTACCATGTTTTAGCCTACATTAGTCAAGCTGTCCTTATAGTAGTATGCATCCGTTATCGATGAGAGGTTCATAATCGTTAATTCACGATGACAGGTGTCATCTCTGGTGAGAGGAATGACTTCTTGGACAAATTATCATATTTAGACTTAGTTCCTCCATCTACGGTAAGAGTAGTAAGGTAGGATAGGTTAGTATTCCCTGGTTGACATCATAGATGATTAAGGTCACAGACATCATATTATGATGTTTAAGAGCCTATACCTTGGCCTTTGTTCAATTATATACTACTCTCCGCGTCGTGGTTCCTGTATGACTTTATTCATATGCCTACTACACTGTACTGGTGCGGTGGGGAGGATTTGATTTTTATTCGACACGCTTGACGCTTATTGATGACCAAGTACCAGACTTCCGGTTTATAATAAGTACTCTGTGTACCAGACGCCTCAGTTTTAACGTTGCTTCCTGTTTGTCTGGTCTAGGTATTTTACGTCTCACACGGGGTGATTATACCGCCATCTATTAGAGGCGATGAGATTTTTCTGAGATATCCTATTGTCGCTTTTACAACACCCACGTGACTAATTAAAGATAAAATTAATCAGCTACATAAAATTCGTGTGAAAAAATAAAATGATGTCTTACCTGTTTTGAAGAGCGCTAGCGAAACTAAACCCATCACCACTACCCCCAAAAACAGCACACTACGAAAAACACATTACCATCGATAAATAACTCGCCTCAAAACGAGACATCGTCAAGAGAAATAAGACTGATAATAAGCGATAACTTTAAGTGCCTTGCACATTAAAATTAATAATGACAAATAATTTTGTATTTTTTTGTCTACCAGTGTTACGAAATTTCACGATTCAGAATGTTAGGGCAGTAAGATCGTGGCGAATAGTGGATCCTGTGCAAATTATTTATTTTTGATAACTGAAATAATGACATTTTATATTTATAAATAAGGTTGGTTTAATCGGTCATACATTACTTACAACATCAAACAGAAGATTCAAGGTTTAAAAGGGGCAACTAAATGTTTTAAATTATTATTGCTAATCAAATAAAAATTAAATTTTAAACAATTAACGGAATGAGGCATTACTTGGAGGAGATCCATAATATTAAATAAAGTTAAAAATGCTGCAGTTATATTAGTAGTATAGTTGTAGCACGAATGGGTCGGCTCGACCGGGGAAGGACCACGCTCGGAAGTGGAAGGAGCTGGCACTGGAGAGCCCCAGCCCAGAGATGTATCAATATTGTGCTAAACGGAAGTCCATAATCTCTGCCTACCCCTCTGGGTGTCTTGCGTGGTTTTATTTTGTTTTATTTTAATGAATGAAAAAAAAAATTCAAAATTACATTAAACGAATTTAAGTAGGTACCACACAACGCAATAAGTTTGTTGCTACTACTGTAAATGTGCACTTTAAGCTATTATTTATTATGTGATTCAAGGAAGTCAGCTCTGTGTTAAACACTAGCACAACCTCTTATTAGTTTGTGCACTAGCATGGTGAGGAAGAGGATTCTGATAAGAGTTAATTTATTTAAAAAAAACTAAATGGGCCCCGCAGTTTCACCAGCGTATATCACGCGTCTGAGCCGCGCGATATGACACCTCGCTTATATAGGCGTACATTGCTGGTTTCTCTCGGTTCTCATCGGCAGGCTAGGCGTTTTTCGCGTGCCGAGCCAAGTGTGTTGAATAATTTTAATTTTTCACTATGTGCCCAAATAACATACTATAAATAGCAAAGTTTACCTTCGAAAAATTGTCTTGATGATTAAGTAACTTTCGTTCGTAAGGATTAATATGCCACGCCTAATAATAACGCACATAAACCACTTTAATTTTCAATATTTTATTATCACAAAATACGTTATTGTGGCTTATGCATAAGAGATAGGCATATGGTATCACGAACTCTTTTTAGATAGAGTAACGCTCAATATTTTTGTAGAACATTGTTTTTACGTGTCACTAACCATTACGCCAGCGTATTTTGACACAAAAGTTCGGAAGTGCTTTTTCTTCCAATTTGCTTAACAAAACTCTACATTTAAGGCTAGCTGAGAGATGTAGCCTAATGTTAGATAGTCTATAAAATTCTTCATGAATATGCCTATAATATACAAAAATAATTTTCCAAATCGGACTGGTAGTTCTATAGATTAGTGTGTGTGTTTAAACAAACAAAAAAACTTCCGCAGTATTATATTACAAGTATAAAAGTATACTTCTATATATATGACTGCCTCGTTGGTCTAGTGGTTGTAGTAGTGCGACTGCTGATCATGATGTCCTGGGTTCGAATCCCGGGTCGGGCCAAAAAATTAATTATTGAGTTTTTCCGTCAAGAAATTTTCAATTTCTCAGTAGTTGCCCGGCGTCAGGAAGTTGGCGGTGTCCCACCCCCGTGCCTCGAAAAGCACGTAAAGCCGTTGGTCCTGCGCCTGATCTCTCTCAGGTCGTGTCGGTTTACCGTCCCATCGGATTATGAGAGTGAGGGAATATAGAGTGCACCTGTGCTTGCACATACACTTGGGCACTATAATCCTGTCCTGCGCCGATGGCTAGCCTCCGTTGATGCAGGCCGCCGCGGCCAAAATTCGGTCTGGAGGACATTATAGAAGTATAAATATGGCTCACATAAATATCAAAGCACAAAACATCACTCTACCCACCTATGTGTGTATAAATATATCATATAAACGTCCTAAACGGCTGGACCGATATTGATTGTTGTTTTCGTGTATTTGACATATATACCTGCAACTTTACAAGGCGCAGGTTCGTCTGCACATGGAATACTGTTCCCATCTCTAGGCTGGGGCTCCCCAGTGCCAGCTCCTTCCACTTGACCGCATCCAGCCCAGAGCGGCTCGAATCGTCGACGACCGAGTGCTTTCCGATCGGCTCGATTCACTGGCGCTGCGAAGAGATGTTGCATCTCTTTGCATTTTCTTTCGCATATACCATGGGGAGTGCTCTGAGGAATTGTTCGGATTAATCCCAGCCGCCGAATTTCGTGAACGCACTACGCGGCAAACGTCCCGATACCATCCACACCATCTGGATGCTTGGCGGTCCACCACTGTACGTTTCAAAAGGAGTTTTCTTCCGCGTACGACCTCTGTGGAATAGTTTACCACCGGCGATTTTTCCGGACCGATACGACCTGGGGACCTTCAAGAAAAGAGCTTACTCCTTTCTAAAGGGCTGGCAACGCACCTGCAATTCCCCTGGTGTTGCGGTTGATCATGGGCGGCGGTATTCACTTAACATCAGGTGAGCCGCATGCTCGTTTGCCCCCTCTTCTATATAAAAAAAAATTTTGAATGGGTTCCTGGATGGATTAGATTTACAAATGGACCCGGTAAGTAGCGCTGTTGTCGAGATCTAGAAATCATCCATGCGAAGCCGGGCGGATAGCTAATACCGGTATAAATTACACCATAATGCTGCTATGTTTCGTATGGAGCGCGACACGTACTTTTTACTAAGAACATGATTATATTCTTAGTCCTCAGGTGTGACATAGCAACTTAATTAAGGATTGATCCAGGTACATATGGACCACAATATCTACTTACCATCACATAGATAGACTGTGTACTTGTTTGTCATCCTTTACTTACATAGACAGTAGATTACTTATTAAACAATATTTCAAATGAAAATTTAACTACATTCTCAATAATATACTAAGGGTCGATTGTTTAATCCTCAAAAAATATTCACAGGATAAAAAATAGAAATCGTATAAATAAAATAGTTAATTGTTTCCCTTTTATATTCAGTCGGGATATACCTAATTTATTTGACGGCTTTATCTGACCATTAAAAAATCAGCGCTAAATAATTTTTAAGACAACATAGATGCACATGTAATCAAGAAATCTAGAACTAATCACTCATACCCATATAATTTATCACCTGATTTTAAAATAACGAACCTCAAATCTATGAACCAATATGATTTAAATTATTTTTTACAATATGCATTAAATACTTAACTGCAACTATAAGTTCTCTCTACTAAATATAGAGTAATCTAGGGTATAAGTGATATAATATATCCGACTGGGAATAATCAATATGCATTGCAATTAATATTATGGTAGTACCTATATGGAATCACCGTTAATGAAACCCAGTTTAACATACAATAATATAATAACAATCAATATAAGTCAATAATGCATTAGACAGCAATACAAAATACAAGAAATATAGACAATGCAAATTTTTATAAATAATACTATGTGCTACAGTCAAGGAACTTTATTCTGAAGATAATGCAGGGATAGAAAAGGTTCCAAAAATACTGATTTGAAAGCAGTATTTACCAGTTCTGACAATAGAATTAAACCAAATCAAACCTGAAACCTTAATGAGAATTGATAAAACCCACTTTTAAGAATTTAATCGCGTTTAGTTTATTTACTTTTTAATTCCCGACATTTCGGGTTCGGCTTTCCAGTACCCATGGTCATAGGGGACTGAGGTGACTGACGTCCCGATATCAGTGTTAACCTGGAGTACCTTCAGGTTTTTAATTATTATTTATGATCTGATCTACGCAGAATGAACTTACTGTGTCTTGAAGCATACCACTGCAAGACTACAAGACACATCATTTTGCGTAGATCGGACCATGTATAATAATTAAAAAGCTAAAGTTACTCCAAGTAAACACTAACATCGGGATGACAGTCACCTCAGTTTCCCGTGACCAGGGACGCTGGAAAGCACCTGAAATGTTGGGTATTAAAAATAACATAAATAAATGTGATAAAATCCGTAAATGTAGTTTTAATCAATGTGTAGTGTTCGTGTAAATATAAGAAATCATTTATTTAAAGACTTATGAATAAATTGTTATAACATTTTTATTAAATTGTAATTTTGTTCCCTCTTAATAAAACTTTGTTGAAAATTTTCAATAAAGTTTTTAGATTCAATTTTCTGGTTTTGTATCAGTACTACATACTGTATGGTCACTTCATGCTCAATCACCCAATAAGGGTTGGGTAGACAGACCTATTTTATGTTAAAATTACAAAAATATATCAAATAATAATTATGTATTTCATACTTTTTCTCTTTTGCTCTTGCCTGGTGTTGGCTTACCAATACTGTACCATTCACTACTATTGGTACTTTTTTAGATAAGATATATTTTTATTTACATAAACCATTTTTCCAGTTTTCCTGGAGATCGGAACATAACAATATGGATACAAGCCACAAAAGGCTTAACTAATAATTTTTTCACACTGACTTCTTATCAATACATCACAAAAGATATTTGAAGGACAACGCAATTCCATGTAAGGAAATTGTATACATAACATTATCACATTACATTAAGTAAAACTTAAATAATTTCCTTTTTTTAAATGATGATCACAATGAAAAGTCTAAAATGTGCAAATTCACTGAGTCTGTCAACACAATTATTCCTTTTTGTTTAGAAAGAGACGGTCTGTAAGGATTCGTTGTGAATCCGTTGTTATATCCTTGGAAGAAAGTCTGATTTTATGTAAATATTAAAATGCTTTTGTAACATTTATGTTAGAAATTTGTATTATCAATGTGCGAATAGGGTTCTAGTTATAGTTTTCTATGGTCTGTACACTTATATCTTTTCAAATACGCAACAGATTTTGATGCAGATTTCATCAATAGACAGAATATATATATATAGTTCAAGTTAATTCAAGAATGGTTTAGATTCATAACTCAATCAGGTATGAGGAGCTGCTATTGAGATTCAGAAATCACCCATGCGAATCCGGGGCTGATCTAGAAGAGCTGAGTTTAGAATCTAAAGTATAATTTTTTTAACCCTAAATAAAGAACCATACTGAATTTTTTTTAATTAAAAACATGATTCAATTATGTTTTCAATCCCTGGGGTAAATTGATGTAAATAAAATTAAAGATAAACATAGAAAACAATATAGGTGAAAAAACAGATTTAAAAGGTTATAAGCTATAACATTTTTGACAAATGCACAACATTGTAAAATTTTGGTGTAATATACAAAAAAATATTAACAAAACAAAACATAAACAGGAAAGTTTTAATAAATCTATAGAACAAGTAAAATCAAATGAAATACACACCTTATCGATTTCTTTTTTCAGTTCTGTTTTATCTGAAGTTAAAATCAAATTTAATTTTTTTAATTCTTCATTCTCATTTATCAACTTTTTCATTTGATCATCTCTTTCTCTTTTTTTTTGTGATACTCCAAATACTTTCTAAAAATAATAATTACTTTTTTAAGTAAAATTTCTCTCATTATATTTTTATATACAGGTAATAATCAAGTCTTGTTGTTGCTGTTGGGTAAATGCTAACAACATTTACATGCTATTGAGTATATATAATATAAACTATAACAATCATAATCATTAAGTATATCAAACCAATTTAACCTTATATCAAAAAGAAATTTGTTAAAGGAAAATTAACTAAGCATTAAACAATAAAAAAGTATATTATCCGTAATTCTGAGTTTGCTTTATAGATTGCCAACTGTCAACTGAAGCTCGAATGCGAGAGATATCTGCCTGATAGGTTCTACAACATCCTCCAATATATTTCACACCGAGATCAAGCCACTCATGGACATACTTGTCAATAGAATCAACCTTATCTTTATCTGTCCAACCAATTTCAGGACAATATGCTTCACCTGAATTAGGATACGTCACAAGAGGAATTGGTTCTCTACCATCATTAATACCTCTCAACAGGTTAGAGACAACTTTAGGAGCACAACAATTTACCCCTAGTGCTAATAATTGTTTTGGATTAGCCTCCCAGCACTTTATAACAGTTGTTTGAAAGTCTTCACCATGAGCAAGACTTTTATCATCTTTGCAGCTAAATGAGAGCCACGCTTTAGCTGAAGGGTATTCTTTTAACAAATTGATAAGAACCTCCGCTTCTTTAAAACAAGGTATTGTTTCCATTGCAAGCAAATCTACCCCAGATTCCAATAAAGTTTTTATTCGAGGTTTGTGCCATTCTTTCATAGTTTCACTGGATATTTTATCAGCATAATTGCCAAGATATTCTGAACCATCGTGTAGATAAGCACCATAAGGACCAACTGAACCAGCTATTAAGGGCTTCAAGTTGCGGCGGGGTGTTCCATCGTTATCTTCTAAGTATGTGTCACGAGCTCTTTCAGCAAGGTCCACAGCTAGTCTAATTAGTCCTAATCCTTCCTCAGATGATACACCAAGATGCTTTACGAATCCTTCGACTGAAGCTTGGTAAGTATTGGTTGAAATAACATCAGCACCCGCACAAAGAAAATCCAAGTGAGTGTGAAAAACGTCCTCAGGGTTAGTTTGAAGGAACCGTGCACTCCATAGAGGATCGCCTTCTGCTGTAGTGCTAACATGGCACGATATTTGCGATGAGAAACCTCCATCGAGGACTAACACTTTACCATCCCCCATGTTTTCAATATTACAAAAAAATACATGTAATTTATTTTAATTAATCTTACACAGGCTGTTACGTCTGCTTTGCTAACACGCAGAAAAATAATAAATCTATAATAAAGTATAAATCAAAACATTATTTGCACAATAAAAGCAATAACATTCAACTTTCCATAAACTTCACAATGGGTATGTTCCGAAATACAACGCAGTGTACTGCTGTCCAATGCAAATGACGTCTGAATCGACGCTATACTGGTGGTTCGTTCCAAAACATTGGACAGTATATGACGTCATACTTTTGCGCCATTTGGAAAAGTGTTGGCGATTATTTTGTCATTTTGTGCTCCAAAAATCATTATATCCTCCTAATGGATATACCATCAATTATTCTATAATTTTTTGTATTTGAATAAATAGAAACAAATTCTGGCATGCTTCATTCGGCAAACACACAATTAAAAATTGTTTTATTATGGCCGGATATCCGACACAATATGGCAGCGGCACGCTAGTACAATAAAGTGTCAAATGATACGTCATTTACATTGGACAGTACACTGCGTTGTATTTCGGAACATACCCAATATTGGGTATAAGGCCCGAGATACACTACACAAGGTATTCCGTTTCAGAATTCCGAAACGGAACGAACGGGTCGGCGACACACAGACGGAATCCAGTTATGTCCGCAAAACTCCGTACGGAAAACCACCGTAGGTGTGTAACGGGTCATTAATTTTATATGGACTTGCTGCGTTCGGAATCCCGAATCGGAATTCCGTATGTATGTAGTCAGCCTACAAAAAAAACTCGGTCAAAGAACATAGAGAGTAGCTCTGCCATTCTCCTCTCTGGCGAGAGATGTTTATTGAAACCGGAAACCTATAGACTATGTAAAAAAACTAAACCAAAACAATGAAGTAGAGTAATTTTTGCAAGATTATAAAATAAATGAATAACACATACATGTATTAAAAATTCATGATTGGTAAGTTTATATTTACAAACATATATAAATTACTTCAATAAAATATCGCTACATTTTTGCTTAATTCAACCCAATGATTAGCGTGGCCTCGAGTAAGAAAGGATGATAACATAGTTTTAGGTTATACAATAATCTTTATGACTTAAATATATTTAGATAAAATTTTTAATTGTTCTAAGAACTGAACTGAACAAGATTCACCAATCTTAAGCTTACAAAACACTTTTTTTCTCACCTAAAGCAACTTGTAAACTCCTTAGATCGCTACGAACTGTCAAAGTTGTTTAGGAAAGTGTAGTTTGCTAAACAAAAAAACTGGCCCAGGAAAGGGACGAACAATCACACCGCTCTGTCTCATTTCTATGCAAGACGTATGCATAAATATTTTTCGTGTGCGAATGCGAAAGAAGGCGTCAATTTGCGTAGACAGAGAAACCTATAGACTAATGAACGGCGTGGCCTCGAGTGAGAAAGGACGGTAACGAATTTTTAGGTTATACAATAATCTTTATGACTTTTAAACACATTTAGATAAAAAATTTAATTGTTCTAAGAACTGAACTGAACAACATTCACCAATCTTAGGCTCACAAAACACTTTTTTCTCACTTAAACCAACTTGTAAACTCCTTAAATCGCTACGCTTTCAAAGTTGTTTAGCAAACTCTACAGTAAAAAAACCGGCACGGAGAAAGGGACAAACAATCACACCGCTCTATCTCATTTCTATGCAAGACGTATGCATAAATCTATCTTTTTCGTGTGCGAATACGAAAGAAGGCGTCAATTTGTCTATAGGTTTCTCTGTCTACGTCAATTTGTCTATTGGTTTCTCTGTCTACGATTGAAACTATGGAGTGTAGAGGTAAGGATTACAGACTCTGAATAAAAAAGTGTCCGTAGGAAAGCGCTAAATAAGGGTGGCACCACTGTAGTTACAGTCTAAATAAAAAAAAACCTTTTATAATTTTTTTATTCCACGGACTTTCACCATAATTTTTTATACAATAATTATTTTATTGCTTTCAAACTTTTTATTTTCAAAATCACTCAACGTATTTTGCGGCTATTTATCACTCCCTGTAGCTACTCGAGTGCTGTTGTGGAGAGTTTTTGAACTGTTATTTACTGCTAACGGATGGACACATTTTCAACTATTCTCCTATGGGAGATTGTCCTCCTTAACTCTATACTCCATGCTTGAAACGTAGATAGAATCCAGTTTATACAAAGGTATTCTGTTGACAGATATGTATGTATATAATTAGTAGACATCGGATTTTATGCATTTGCATATGTAAATTGCATATATCGTATTTTGGCACTTTGCTAGTGCATGTAGTATGTGTCTAGTATTTAGTAATTACTCTAAGACATAATCTGTCTACGATTGGTCATCATATAAAGAGAACTCTCAGATGTCACAACGGTGTCAAAATACGTGGAATAAACATGCCAAACGCTTCGATATAAGAAAGACGTTGACAGAAGAAAGATATATATTTTTCTTACATTTATGGCATGGAGTATAGAGGTAAGGTGGACAATCTCCCATAGGAGATTAGTTGAAAATGTGTTTGTGTCCATCTATAAGCAGAAAATAACTGTTCGAAAACTCTTTACAAAAGCGCTCGAGTAGCTAGAGGGTATGAAATGAACTTAGCAGTTGTAGACGGAGTGAAGTGTGCTGAGTTGAGAAATTTAATATTTGTGGTGACTAGAGTAGTTGATGAAACTTCAGTATTTAAAACCTCAACTACTACTACTAACCCGGAACGTTGATGCTTCACACATATAGCTGATGTGAAGCATCAACGTTCCGGGAAGTCTGCAGTTTGCGATCATATCCTAGACGGCCCCAACCATTACATCAGATTTGATAGACCACAAATCCTCGCGAAAGAACACCGATTCCTACCAAGGATGATACGTGAGGCTATTGAAATTAAAAAAACATCCTAATTTCAATAGAGAAGGAGGCTGGGTACTACCACCTGCTTGGGATCCTATAATCAATAAAATTGAAACTAAACCCAAGCATACCACTGCAAGACCTCAGGACATAGTCAGTTCATTTTGCATAGATCAGACCATAAACAATAATTAAAAAAGCTGAAGGTACTCATACATCAGGTAAAAATAAGAGTAATTAAAAGTAAAATAAACGCGATAAAATCCGTAAAAGTAGTTTTAATCAATGTGTAGTGTTCGCGTAAATGTAAGAAATCATTATGTAAATCGGGTAGTTATTCTTGTGTGAATGGCTTAAACGATCAAAACGCTGTTCCGTCATTCGAAAGAGTTTTATTGCTATTACATTTCATGTCAATTTTAACCAATTCGGTTTGTTAAATTTTGATAAATCACAAAAACTAAATATTCAAAAAAAAATTTTTTTATAGAAAAGGGGGCAAACGAGCATGCGGCTCACCTGATGTTAAGTGACTACCGCCGCCCATGATCAACCGCAACACCAGAGGAATTGCAGATGCGTTGCCGGCCCTTTAGAAAGGAGTAAGCTCTTTTCTTGATGGTCCCCAGGTCGTATCGGTCCGGAAAAATCGCCGGTGGTAAACTATTCCACAGAGAGGTTGTACGCGGAACAAAACTCCTTTTGAAACGTACAGTGGTGGACCGCCAAGCATCCAGATGGTGTGGATGGTATCGGGACGTGTGCCGCGTAGTGCGTTCACGAAATTTGGCGGCTGGGATTAATCCGAACAATTCCTCAGAGCACTCTCCATGGTATATGCGAAAGAAAATGCAAAGAGATGCAATATCTCTTCGCAGTGCCAGTGAATCGAGCTGATCGGAAAGCACTCGGTCGTCGACGATTCTGCGCTGGATGCGGTCAAGTGGAAGGAGCTGGTACTGGGGAGCCCCAGCCCAGAGATGGGAACAGTATTCCATGTGCGGCCGAACCTGCGCCTTGTAATGTTGCAGGCGGTGTGCCGGCATGAAATACTGTCGCTCTGCTGAGCACGCCTTTAGCTGAGCAAGCTTTTTAGAGGCCAATTTGGCCTTCTCATCTAAGTGACCACGAAACTATACGTCACTCGATATGTCGACGCCGAGGATTCCGATACTGGCTGAGGCAACAAGGGGACGCCTTGAAACTGAGGAGATACGACAAAGGGGTTCTTTTTAGCGATTAACGCGCAAACTTGTGTCTTCTGGGGGTGAAACTGGACTAGATTTAGTCGCCCCCAATCCGAGACTCTGTTCAGCAAAGACTCGACTTTAGACATAAGTTTGTTCCGGTACTCGGAGACGTTTTCCCGAGAAATATTGGCACGGCCGGTGTAAAGAGCATCACCAGTGCTGTTATCTGCATAGCAATGAATGTTACGGAATTGCAACATATCATTGATATGCAGAAGAAACAGCGTTGGCGATAGCGCGCAGCCTTGTGAAACACCAGCATTAATAGGCTTGAGATCGGTGCTTGTACCGTCTGCAACGACCTTAATGCTCCGATCTGCAAGAAAGCTGGAGATCCAATCGCACAATTTCTCGGGAAGCCCATAGGAAGGGAGCTTTGAAAGAAGCGCTTTGTGCCAAACCCGATTGAAGGCCTTGGACTCTACTGCCTCCGCCTATCTGTGAGTTAGGTAGACCTGAAGATCACCAGCTGACCGACCACGGTGAAAACCGTATTTGCGATCACTAATCAGATGATGATCTTCAAGTTACCTCATGATTTGGCAGTTAACAATAGACTCCATTGTTTTGGAGAACAAGGAGGTGATGGCGAAAGAAAGAGCATAGCAGATCGGCTTTCTCCTTTGCGGTATGGGCCAGTGAGTCGTCCTCCCTGTGCAGAGATGGAAGAGATGGCTGACAGAAATTCCCCTGGACAGCCTTGGCGAGAGACCAGAATGCACGGGTCCAGAAGGAAGGCGAACTAGTTTCTCGCCAATTCTGCCTATGTGCTCGGACTTTGCCTTGGCAATGACTCTTTTGAAGGACCTAGAGGTGGAATTATACTTCTTTTTTCTTTTTGAGATCAGACTTTCATTTGGTA